GAGGGAAGCCGGGGCCTCAGGGAAGAGGCTGTGCCCCGTGTACCCCTGGCAGTGTGGCCCCTGCTTGGGAGGTTCAGACAGCTGTGTCTACACTAGTGCTCCGGGCTGTGGGCGTCCCTCCCACGAGCCCCACTTTCCGAACACGCAGGGGAGATGGCGTGCCCAAGAGGGGCGCCCCCCCACAGAGAGCCTCTGTCTCCCCTTTGCTGAGCCCTCAGGTGACGTCAACCTGCCGTCCTGGTGAGCGGACCTCCCGTGTGTGCTCGTCAGCTTCCGTGGTGACCAGTGTGTTTTGTTTCGTGTTCGTCTCCCAGGTCACGAGGAAGCCCACCCTTTGCCACCTGGAGCTGAGAACCCGGACTATGTTTGCAGAACTGCCCGCCAGCACCCACAGCAACACCTCTCCTTCCCGCAAGGTGGAGGGACCCGCCTCAGGAGGGACAGTGACCTGCACGGCCACCCCCCTCGAGACGGAGCCTTTTCCACCTCTGGCTCCGAGGGTCTTTCCCGTCAGGCGACCTGTGGCCCAGCGGGGCTTCCCCGCGGCCGGGGGCCGTTTTGTTTCATGGGCTCTGGACTCTCTCAAAGGGACCCGATCCTTCTGAATGTGCATAGCCCCGGACAGAACCCCTTTGGATAAAGGGTGTGTGCTCCTGATTGTAGGAACACCATGGACGTCTGAATGCTTTGACAATTCTGTGCACAGTTGGTGTACACGCGAGTGAAACCAGTGCACACAGCTGCTGCTCTCCCTACAGGCCCCGGGGGGAGCTCAGGAGGAGGGGGTGGAACAGGTCTGTTCCCTGCAGGACAGCCCGGCGCTCAGACCCTTAGACTCATGGTAAGTTGCCAATATGACTTATCAGTGTACAGCGTGACGTCATTAGAGAGTGACGCTAGCCCTGGCTAGTTTGGCTCAGTGGTTAGAGCATCAGCCTGTGGATCGAAGGGCTGCGGGTTCAATTCCTGGTCAAGGGCACGCACTTCGGTTGCAGGTTCGATCCCCTGTCCTGGCCGGGGTCATGTGGGAGGCAACGAACTGATGTGTCTCTCTCACATCGATGCTTCTCTCTCTTTCTCCCTCCCGCCCTCCCTTCCATTCTGTCTAAAGATCGATGGAAAAATATCCTTGGGTGAGAATGAACAGCAACAAAAAGGACATGCTGGCCTTGGAGTCCAGGCAAGCCCGAGCCAGAGCCGCGCGCCTGAGCCCGGGGAGCCCGAGGAGCCCGGCCGAGCCCCGAGAGCCGAGAGCAGGTAGGACAGCAGAAGTATGTTCAGCCTGGCGAGAAGGAGCCAGGCCCTGGGCCCGGGCAGCTGTGGCAGCTGGGCTCTGGGCCTCCCTCCAGCTGTCCGAGGTCCTGGCTTAGGTCCCAGGTAGCTGGGGCTCTGGGCCTTGTTCTGCTGCCCAAGAACCAGGCCCCGGGCCCAGGCAGCCGGGGTGCTGGGCCTGGTTCTTGGAGCCAAGTGACACCTTCAAGCCTAATCCATGTTAATCATATGAAATCCACACTTCAGTCTCCTTAAGCAAAGGGTTATTAGACTAGAAAGGTGTAGCCAGCAGAAACAGTACGAGGAGGTCGGCCCGCGGGGTCAGCCCAGACCTGGTTCAGCAACCTCGGTAACTGAGCTCCTGCGAGGAAGGAATTCAGAACCAAGACTCCAACTACGGGAGAACGTTTGTCTGCAGAAGCAGGGGCAGAGAAGTAACCTGGGGAAGAAAGGGGCACAGGTTACAGAGGCAAAGGCAGGCCCTCGGATACGCTAGGGAGGGAAAGGTCAGCCACCCTAGGGATGAGGTCTCCTCCTACAACTGTCCTTTGCTGGACACCTTGGGCTTCCCACCCTGGTGACCTCCGTACGAAGCCCGTGCCCTTGCTCTGCCCCGATGACCTGCCCACCACACTTCCTCTCCTGTGTACCTGAGGCCCCAGCCTGGGCTCCCTGGCAGGGGCCCCTTGTCTGGCTAATGCAACCCCTGTGGAAGAAAGCGAGTGGGTGTGGGTATTTCTGCTCCCACTGTGGATGAAAAGGGTCCACATACCAAGCCTGACAAGCTCAGGGGAGGCCTTGGTGGTGGCCTTATAAACAGACCACAGCCCTGGCCGGTGTGGCTCGGTGGTTAGAGCGTCACCCGGACCAGAGACGTGGGTTCGATTCCAGTGAAGGGCACGTACCTCGGTTGCGGTCCGCCCGGGGCCCTGGTCAGGGTCATGTGGGAGGCAACCAGTCGATGTGTCCCTCACGTCAATGTTTCTCTCTCTCCCTTTATCTCCCTCTCTCCCCCTCCCACTCTGTCTGAAGATACATAGAATATCCTTAGGTGAGGATTGAAATAAATAAATAATAAAACAAACCAAGACCACAAAGGGTGGTGTGAAATGAAAACGTCTTCCGGAAAAGCAGCTTTGGCGGGCAGTCTTGTGCGAGGCTGAATGTGCCCTGACCAAGGCCAGCGCTTAGGTGGACTGAGCCTGTCTGTTGTCTATTGAACATCCGGCCTTCGGGTGTCCAGTTAACTCCCCTTTCCCGGACCCCTCTGGGCACCAGCACAGCACCAGTCCGGAGACACAAATCACTTACCCTGTTAACTGCTGCCTGTTAACCACCCTGTACCCATCTGGGTAACAGCAGGTCTACATTGTCCTTTTGATCCAATCCCACAGGTCCCCATCTACCCCCACCCCCTTTCCTTTCTCCCCCTTCCTAATCTTGCACCAACAGATTCCTTGTCACCCCCTCAAGGTCCCTTCATTTGATTGTCCCGTAAAGCAGAAGATGCAAAACTGCCCGTCTCAGGAGCCTCTGCTCAAGCCGGTGAGATTCTGCTTTCTGGAAACTTGTGTTGGTTTGGCTCAAACTCAGAAACTTCTACGGACACTAGTCATGCTTCCCGCTCCCTCCCGCTCCCTCCCGGCCAGGGACAAGCCCGTCTGCTCTGCTTTCCGACCTGGCCCCGCCCCCCAGGGGCCGCCCTCACTGGGGCGACCCAGGTCCTGCCCCGCCCAGGCTCCGTGTGCCCCTCAGCGACCTGGACAGGTTCGCTCCAGGTGAGATGGGAGGTCGGGGTGCAGCCTCCTCATGCACCGGGTGTTGGGGGTCCTTCACTGTGGCAGCCCCTGGCCCTCTGAGAGGTGGACTGAAACCAGAATCTCCGGGGCGGGAGGTCCGGTTGGGGGGCCACGGGCTGTCGCCATTGTACCGATTCTGGCCTGACCCTTCCAGGGGTGGCCAGATGTGAACCGCCTGGGGACACCCCAGGGCTGCTTCTCCTCACCTTGCCCATTTTTTTTTTATCCTCACCCGAGGATATTATATCTTCAGATAGAGCAAGAGGGAGAGAGGAAGAGAGAGAAACATCGATGTGAGAGAGACTCATTGACTGGCTGCCACCCACAGGGCCCCAACCGGGGCCGGGGACAAACTGCAACCGAGGTACGTGCCCTTAGCGGGAACTGAACCCGGGTCTCTCTGGACCGAAGGCCGACGCTCTAACCGCTGAGCCACACGGGCCAGGGCTCTTTCCTGTTTTGAAAGGTTGCACATGTCGGTGGGGGCTGGGAGGAGGTGGGCTCCACTAGCCAGGCTCTGTCTTCCTGGGCCCCGGCCGCTGGCCAGGACTCCCCCTTTTGGGTGTGAAGGGGTTGAAGGGGTGGGGCGCTGTCCTCATGCTCCGAGGAGGAGGAGGTGGTACCCCCGAGGCTCCCAGGCCTTGGTAGGTGTCCCTGCCAGGTGGCACAGCCCCAGGCTTCGGGGACGCGGTGTGACCACACGTGGGGGTTGGACAATCACTGCGCAGGAGCCTAGCTCCAGGGACCTCACCAGCTCCTGGTGGCTTCGTCCAACCAGGATGACTGGAGAGCCACCGTGTGCCTGGGTTTGGAACACATTCTGCTACAAATGACAAGAACCTGCTGTCCCAGGCTCTCCTCACACCAAGAAACCCACAGGCGGGCCCTTGGTGTGGACAGGGAGGCAGCGCCTTTAGGGCTGGTGTCGCCGGATATCGTGGTTACAAGGTGGCTGCCATGGCTCTAGCCATCACGTCAAGGCAGGAGAAGGATGTGGCTGCTGTTTCTTTTCCCACCCCTTGCTGCACCCCCCGTGTCACCCAGCACCTTGCCCACCTGGGTGACAGGAAAGCAGGGACCAGGGCAACCCTCTGGCTGGCACCCAGCTGTCTGGAGAGAGGGGCTGAGGTAGGGAGTGGATGCCGTTGGCCTGTGGCCCGTCTCCCGGACATACCCTGGGAAAGAGCCCCCCTCAGGCCTGAGGACTGTTCTGAGCGGCTGCCGCGGAGCAAGGGACCCTCTGGATGACAGGCATGTGGCCTGAAGGCAGGGCTGGCTGCCTTCCTCCCGCCGGCCTGGGACTTAGAAAGGGCAAATACCGAGGCATGCCGGGGCTCACGACGGCTTGGTGTTGACTTCCGGGCTGGCTTCTTGCAGCCAACTGGTCTCTGTGTCCAAGACTCCCCGGGCCCAAGGTCAGCGTCCCCAGGCTGGTAGGGGCTGAGCCCAGTCTGAGCCCCGGAAGTGAGCGGCCTGCTGCTGCCTCCCAGCCCTGGCGCCCAGCAGGCCCAGGCTCCTCCCACAGGCGGTGGGGGACAGACGGACCAGGGGCTGCTCCCCAATCAGAAAGGCAGTACCAGCCACCAGCTGCTGCCCACCCCGTTCCCCCAGTGTCCAGAGATGGCCGGGCCTTATCTATCAGGAATGGGGCAGAAGGCAGGCAGTCACCAGGCTGTCAGCCTGGCAAGAGAGGAGGACCCAGGGCCGGGGGCTACGCACCCTCATTCCCAGGGTTCAGGGCCTCGACCTCCCTGGGCTGGAGTTTCCACTCTGCCCCTCCCTTGGCTCTGGGCAAGCGGTTTAGCCACTGTGGTCTTGGTGACCTTGTGAGGCAGATACGATGTGGGTGAGGAGCCAGCTCACCTTGGCACCTCCGCCCCCGGGAGACCCTTGTCCTGGATGCTCCCCTCTCTGTCACCGTCCTCACAGGGCCTGCTCTGCAGCGAAGGCAGCGCAGCGAGGCCCCAGCCCCCGCAGGCAGCCCCAGGACGTGTGCGGTGGACAGATGCAGGGGGCATCAGCAGTGGCCCGCGTCCAGCTGGAACAGGTGAGCACCCGGCGGAGCGGCCCACCTGGCCCACAGGCCGTGCGGAGCCCTTGCCGCCCGTCCCTACCAGCCTCCACTCCATAGCAGCCGGGGGCCCGCCCTGGCAGCCCCAGCAACCTGGTCCTCCACCTCTGCCTTCCCCGCTGGGCTCTCCTGACCCCGTCCAGCAGAGCGCCCCCACCCCCCGCCTTCTGTTGGGGCCCAACGGCCCTGGGGCCACTGCCCCCACCCCAGCTCCACTCGGGCTCACATGCTAGGCCCTGCTGGAAGCTGCGCTCGGGCGAGCTGTTACCATGAAGGTCCTGGGCGTGGGCTTCTTCATCCTGGGCTTTGTCGCTGTCCACTTCACATACAAGTGCAAGTAAGTGCTGACCACATGCCCTCAGGGGCACAGGCTGGGAGGGAGGGACATGGGTGTATGAAAACTCCCTCACCCCCCTGTGCACGGACACCCAGATAGCTCTGAAGGGAGCTGTGTGCCCCTGCCCTCCCATGGGCCCAGACCCCTCCTGGAAGATATTTCTCAGGCAGAGCAGGGAACCAGGCTCCGCCCCTGTCCCAGACCCACCCCGTAGACCTCACTGGGCCGGCTGGAAGGGAGCGGGTGCACAGAAGCAACCACTGAACACCTGCTGAAGAGGGACTGATGGAGGGTGGACGGAAGGTCAGCTGGAGGGGTCTGGACAGTGTGAGGCTGTGGGAAGGGCCCTCCCCTCTGAACGAGGGACTGGTGGAGGGTGGACGGAAGGTCAGCTGGAGGGGTCTGGACAGCGTGAGGCTGTGGGAAGGGCCCTCCCCTCTGAACGAGGGACTGGTGGAGGGTCGACGGAAGGCCAGCTGGAGGGGTCTGGACAGCGTGAGGCTGTGGGAAGGGCCCGCCCCTCTTGCTGGGCGGGGGTCTTGGAATGTGCCCTCCGCCCCTTTCTCAGCAGTACCCTCCAGGCCTTACGTTCAGTCTCACCCGACGCACACGCATCTCCGGCCTCGGAACCCTGGCCACACACACCTTGGGACTGCGGGTGGAAGATGGGTAGTTACTGTCCTTGTGGGCCTTATTTCAAGTCCTGAATATCAGGCCAGCCTGCAGGGGGGTCACAGACCCCAAAGAGGGAGGCAGGTTGGGGCCAGGGAAGCAGGTTAGTGGACAGCCAACTCGAGTCTCGGAACCTCAGCACCTGTGTCCAAGGAGACCCCACTCCCACCCTTTAGGCCACATCTGGGGGAGGGTACAGCTGGCCCACCCTCACCAGCCTCCCCTGAGTCCCTCCTGGTCATCCAAGACAGGTCACAGGGAGGGGGCAGTGGGCTCCAGGCAGTTGGTGGTCTGCTCCGGAGGTGCAGGGGCTGGCCACGGGCGTGGGCAGAAGGGAGGAGGGTGCGGGCTACCCTTCCCCTGCCCACCCCTCCTCCCTGACTTCTGAGACGCTTTGCAGGCACCAGGGCCACGGTCCCTGAGCAGCTGCCCGCCGGTGGGAGCAGATCGGCTAACAGGTCAGATGTGACTGGCCCAGGGCAAGGCCAGAGCACCCTGGGCAGGGAGTGGGGTGAGCAGGTGTGACCTGTGCAGGAGGCACCAAGGGAGCCGGAGGAGGGGCATGACCAAGAGCCCTGAGGGTGGTGGTTTGCTTGGGGACACGGAGGTCCTCAGCAACGCCTCCTCCCTGCCCCCTGTGCCCCCTGAAGACTGTCCGGTCTCAGGATGGAGCCAGGTGCACTCGTGTGCAGTGTCCCCCGTGGGCTGTCGGCACCCCTGCCCTGCCTGTGGGAAGCACAGGCAGAGGCCCAAGGGGCACAGGGGCATCTATGAGACCCGATCCCCCAGGGCCCCCAGGCCATGTGCTGGGCAGGCCTCAGGGCAGGGCCGGGGAGAGGAGGGGATGATCTGTGGGTCGAGGGGATCCACCGGCTGCTCAGTATGGGGCCCATCAGGGTGGGGCACAGGAGGCAGGGCTGGAGGCAGTTACTGCCCGGCCTGCAGACCCAGCAGGACAGCAGCACTGGGGAGGAGCCCAGGGTTTCCACCGAACGTTTCTATTGGGCAGCTGGACGCAGAGGCAGGGGGTCACACATGGTGTGCTGTGCGGTACATCTCTGATCCCCAGAACACAGCTGCACCAGGAGCAGCAGGCATTGGGCTTCGTCTACACTGAGGTCCCCTGTGTGACACGATGTGGCCACTGAACCATAGGAGCCAGCAGCCAGGACCCCAATGCCTGGAGCTCCCATCAGGGCACCACTGTAACCCTTGAACCCTGTGCTGCACGGCAGCCCCAACTGCCCGAGGGTCCCGCAGTGAGGCACCAACACGCAGAGCTCCGCGGCTCTGGGGAGCAGAGCAGAGGGACGCTCACTGGCACGCCCTCCCCGGGAAGGCCTGTCACCCCACCCCGTGCACAGGGCAGGCAGAGAGCTCGGGGCACCGCGGGGCCTGGCTCACACGCCTCACACAGAGGTTCTGAGGGCTGAGTGTCCCCACAGACCTACCAAATGAACTGTCCTGGGCAGGTTAGAGACCCCTGAACAGCAGTGTCCTACAACAGGGGCCAGGGGTCGGCTTCTCGTGTCCCAGCCAGACCGTGAGCAGCGAGGTCAGTCGAGCGTCGACTCTGTGGCTGGCCGGGTTTGGGAAGGGGCTCACGTGTTGCACGCGCGCGCGCGCGCGCGCGCACACACACACACACACACACACACACACACACGACTTACAGCTGAGCCGTTCAGATGGAAACCACAGCCCCTCACCTGGTGCACCCGCTTCAGAGCCTCCGCCTTCGGGGGCATCGCCGCCACCACTGCCGCGGGCCGCCTGCTGACACCGCCCAGTGGAGGTGTCCTGCCCACCGGGAAGCAGCGCTGTACCTGGAGACCTGCATGTCCCCGAGACTCCTGCGGGCTCCTTCGCAGACGGGGTCGCATCCCGCGGCTCCCGCGGCCCCGCCGGGCGCTCCCCCACTCAGACACGCCGCTGGAAGGTCCCCGCTTCTCCGGCCCCTCAGCGCCCAACAGCAACACTGAGACACTTACTGAGAAAACGCGCGTTTATGAGCAGGCCGCCTCGCTGCGGGGTGGGAGCGCGAGGCCAGGCGCACACGCACGCTGCTCGCAGGACGCGCAGGACGCAGCGTGGCAGAGGCCTGTGCAGCCCGGCGAGACGTAGCCACTTCCTCGGCTCAGCTCACACCGAGCGCCAGGCCTGCTGCTGCGTCCTTTCCCGCGACCGTGGGGCCGTGTCCGTGCCCCAGCACGCCTGGAACCTGCGCTCGCTGTTTGTGCAACTTCAGCAACGCTGCAGTGCGAGCTGCAGAGGCGGAGGACTCGGGCGACACCGCGGTGCCATCACGACAGAACCTTCTGGGACTGGACAAGGAACGCGGGGGCTTAGAAACACCCAGGGGGAGTGTAAGAGGAACTCGCTACACCACACGGAAGCCCACGGGAGGCCGATCCATCGGACAGCCGACCGTCTCAGCGCAGCACGGTCACGTGGGAGGCAGCGATGTCCAGGTCCGTCTTGGAGGGGTACACCACCTTCAGGTGCCCCTCCTCGTCCACCACCCGGACCTGCTCCACCACCAGGGGGGCGCTCCTGTCCTTCTCGGCACTGCTGTCAGTTCCGGGGTCCGAGAGACGTCCAGGGGTGGCGTCAGCTTCAGTATCGGACACAGATCCCTCCTCCTTATTTCCTAAAGTGTACTTGTTGATTTCTGCCATTTTCTGCAAATGAAAAATATTTTTTTAACCTAGAGATCAGAGGCGACCCCGGGAGGACGCTGCGTGTCCCAGATGCGGCAGGAGGCGGCAGCGGAGGGAGCCGTGACACGCGCGGCCCGGGCCTGGCACCTGGAAGGAGCCACGTCACTCACCAGAACCAGGGCGTCCATGACGTCTTTGCAGATCTGCAGACTCGTCGCGCTTGTCACTTCCAGAAACAGAGCGGAAGTGGTTTTCTTAATCTTAAAGAGAAACCAGGAAGGTCTCAGAAGAGTCGAGTGATCACAAGCAGACATCAGCACCCACCACATTAAATCTGAGGAACATCCAGACTGTCCCCTTCCTGGGCACACAGGAAGCTGTACAGGGACTCGGGGTGCCCAGGCGTGAGTGTGCGCAGCCCCAGGGGCTCGCAGACACAGCCCACCTTCGTCTTCTCGCTGTTCGTCACCGGGGGGAAGGAGATGACGTCGCCGTCCGCATCCAGGAGGCAAGGGTACTGTTCTTTCCCGTCCAGCAGGTGGAGGTACCTGCAGAGGACCCGGCACAGCAGAGCGGCAGGGCGCACCGCAGTTAGAGGGGCGCACCCGGCAAGCCCCAAGGGCCGGGCCCGAACCCGGTCCACAGGTCGGCGCCTGCTCAGAAGGCAGGTCGAGGGCCTGTGGGCACCTTCCCCGCCGGGCGAGGCCTGGGTCGACGCTGTGGGTTTGGGGCTGTGGGTGATGCGGTTCCCTCCCCGAGGTGACACGGGACAGCAGCGCCGGCCCCCTTGGCAGTGGCGTCCACTCCCCACACGTCCACCAGACCCGGGTCTGACAGCACTGCCTCTTACCACACGAGAGTCCCGACCAGAAGGGTGAAGGACTTGGGGACATTTCTCGTTTGGCAACTTTAGGAGTTTCCTAACTGGCAACTGGGAGACAGCAGGGAACACGCACCCCGCGGGCCTGCGCCCCGAGGCCCCGCGCACCTGTGCAGGCCCGAGACCGTCTGCCTCTTCCTCTGCTTCCGGTGCTCCTCCGCCTCCAGCTGCAGCTGCCGCACCAGGTCCTTGGCTTTGACTTCCTTGCGCCCCAGGGGGACGATCTTCGGGGCAGAAACCTCCGGTCAGCCCATGTGGAAACACTCTTCGCCCCCCACCTCTGGCTGTGAGCACCAGTGACCCAGCCCTTCTCCTCCGCCAGCCCCCGTGTCGTGAGAGGCGACAGCTGCCCACAGTGGACCGTTCTGCACCCCACACCACGTGTGATCACATGTGCTTCCAGGACACTTAGGAGCCCAAACACTCCAATACTCTGAATACTCCAGTACTTCTGCGTCTGCCCAGCACACAGCTGCGCTTCCAAGGCTACGGATCCCGGGGGCCGAGGAGGAGACAGGCCGGCAGCAGCGCAGGTCAGGGCAGGCCCGGGCCTCGGTGCCCACGCAGAGGCCCCCAGAACAGCAGGGCTGATGGAGCAGCTCACTAGTCAGACCCGACTAGGGGTTTCGCAGTCGGGATACAAACCACACGTTTTTGGGTCAAAATCAGGGAGCTAGTGAAGACACTCTGTCAGGTCAGGGCCTCTTCAGGAGTCTGCCTCCCAAAGTGACCGTGGACACGGCCACCCTGCGCATCCCGGGCACTCGAAGGGGCGCTGTCTGCCTGCCTGACGCTCCAACACATCGCGTGTTTCCCCCAAACACAAAGGCACACCTCCCCTCGCAGACCTACAAGGGTGCAGCGTCACCTTGAGGTCCTGCGGCGGGCGGGCAGTGTAGAGCAGCGGCCCTCGGACGGCGCTGAGGTCGTGGGTGGCGATGGTGGCCGCCGTCCTCTTCTCGCAGAGGTCCTCGTGCAGCTTCATCTGCAACACACCAGGCTCAGCGCCCCGGCCCGACCGAGGCGGAGCTGCCCAGCCCTCCGGCCACACGTCCATTTGGCCGAACCACCCTCGGAAACAATCAGCTACCAGCGGAATTTCTCTCCCTGACTCTAGAGCACAACTTATGAGACTTCAAAGAACCCGTCTTGAACTAAGTTTGACAACTGAGTGAACAAAGTATGACCTAGACAGGGAAAGTACTCCAGAACGTTTCCTTCCGAAAGAGTGATCTGAGTCCGAGCTCCCCACGTGCCTCCTGCGACCTCCCTGAGGCAGGACTCCCGACACACACCCAGGGACCCCCCTGAGCAGCCGTCCCCAGGGGCACACTCAGTGATCTGAGCTCAGTGCCTCCTACGACCTGACCTCCCTGAGGCAGGACTCCCGACACACACCCAGGGACCCCCCTGAGCAGCCGTCCCACTCAGGGTCTTTCTCAGGGCAAAGACGAGCCTTTTATTTGAAAAGCTGGGCACACTGTACAGAAAGACGACCCGTCTGGAAGTCTAGCTAAAACCTGAAAGAAAGTCCAGTCCGCATGGGAACATGCTGGCCAGGGCGGGTGACTCGGACATCACCTTACGTGAAACCAAAAGTACAATTTCTTACTGGAATCAGAAAACTCCAACCTCAGTGACTGGAGGAGCACGGGTTTCCCATGGCAACAGCCGTCTTCACTAATACGCTCGACTGTGAGCGCGGTGGGTGAAGAGCAGGAGGGACCCCAGTGCCGGGCACTGCCCAGGCACAGAGGTTCTGTCCGTGTGAGGCGCCTGCGACAGCCGCCCCCCGGCCCTGAGGCCGGGTCCCTCCCGCTCGGGCACACACGGCCCTGAGGCATGCTCACCACGCCCACAGCCAGAGCCTGCTGCGTTCCCATTTCCCAGGTACACCCACAGTGTGTGCCCCCGGTCTCAGCCCACCTGCAGGCCGCCTGCACCCACCTGAGAGGTGAGGAAGCGCTTGAGCGCATTCCCGGTCTGCAGGTCCATGCCCCGCACAACGGCCCCCACGATGTACGGCCGGACGTCTCTGACCTCGGGGCTGGCTGTGACCACCAGCGGGGCGGGGTTCTCGGAGACGTGCAGCACCCTGAGCAGTAGCCGGCTGGCCTCGTCCACCTCCTCCTCCTCGCCCTCGCCCCCCTCCCTCTTCTTCCTCTCCTTCCTCTTCCTCCGGCTCTCTTCTCTCTCGGGGTCGGCCTTGCCCTTGCCCCGGCAGCAGCCCCGGCCCCCCGCCCGCAGGTAGTCCAGGATGGACTTGGTCTGGCAGCTGCCGACCATCTTCTCCAGGCGCCTGTCCTTTAGCTTGTTCCCACGGAAGTTGACCTCCTTGAGCTTGGGGCAGTCGGCCAGCTCCGGGGGGATTTCGCTCAGCTGGTTGTTGGAGAGGTCCAGTGTCTGAAAGGCAGAGGGAGACGTCAGACTCCTGGGCGGCCTGACTGCGGGATGAGCGGGAGCGCACCTCCCCAGCCCCGCCCCAGCCTGCCGGCGGCCCAGGTGGCTTCCCTAGGGGCAGGAGCTGGCAGCGGCTGCCAGTCTTATGAAACTTGTCTCGTCTCGACCCTCAGCTTCCTCGAGGCCACAGCTCCAGCAACGTTTCAGATAGATGGTTAGGTCAGAGGAGCAAGACAGCGAGGCACAGGGGACCGAGCAATTTGGCTATGCCCGATGGGGACTTCAGTTGACAATAAGCGCCCCACAAAACGGCACTAAGCCTGCTGGAGTCCAGAGAGGCGACCGAGTACAGAGGAGCACCAGAGACCTCCCTCCAGACGGACACACCGCGCAAGACGCGCTCACGCCCGGGGCAGGCCAGCGGGGGCCTGGCCTGGAGTCACTGAGGGTCCACAGCCTGCTGTGACCAGGACAGGTGTGGGCCCGCCGGCCCCTGCGAAGCAGGGTGGATCCCGCACTCGAACAGGAACGACAAAAGGGCACAAAGTGCACCAGCTCGGTCTTCAGTCACCACTGGGGTCCCAGCCGCTGGAGGGGCCACCGTGTGGTAGACCAGGCCATGGCTGTCCCCGTGCTGTGACCCTCCAGGCCCTTCTCCACTCAGGCAGGACTGGACAGGGTGGGGCGGTTGGACTGTACCCGACCCCCATGGGACCTGGCAGCTCCCCATCTAGAGTGGAGCCTGCACCCAGCCCTGCAGTCTGCACCGCACACCGCCCTCTGCGAGGCCAGCCTCTGGCACTGGGAGGAGGCGGGGCCCCGACACCAGCTGGCCCCGCAGACCCCTGCTGGCCCGAGCATGGAGGGCAGTGAAGGGCTCAGGCCTCAGGCCTCTGGCTCTGCAACCCCCGCCCCGTCTGAAGGGCTCTGGCCAAACAGCTTGCCGCCTGCACTGGCACCACCCTCGTCACTGCCCGCAAACATGCCGCTGGGTGGCCAGAAGGTCTGCCTCCGGGTGGAGAGCCAGTGCGAAGGGAGGGTGAGGGCAGGGGTCTCAGAGCCCCTGAGAAGGGAGGTGCCCCCAGATGGTACAGAGACGGGAGGCTGAGCAAGGTTCTCTCCCAGGGGAAGCCGAGCTCCAACCACGGAGGACGTGAACACACTTGCTCAAAGGGGGAACTAACTGCACGGGGCGGCCCCCACGCGCCCCTGGAGCTGACACACGGGACCGTGCCCTCCCTCCTCGCAGGCAACCACGCCCAACGAGGCGAAGCAGGCGTCTCTGACCCAGACTGTGCGCCTTCGGGGAAAGGACCCGTATTCCTGGTTGTGTGACCCCCACACAGCCCTGCCTCTGGGCTCCGAGTGAGTCCCCACTGCTGGTGGCAATCGGCAAACCAACCGAGGCAGGGTTTTTACTTCAGTTTCTCTTATCATCAGACAAAAGGTCTCACCTCCGAAGTTAACTTCTCTGTGACACTCGACATGGGAGAATTCCACAGTGAGTGACATTGGGCGACATAAGTGGGCGCAATTCCCGGCAGGAGGTTGAAATCATGGCTGGAGTGGTCCTAGCTAACAAAGGTGCTGTCCCATTGCTTTCCGGAAGTTGGGGCACACCTGTCCCGTGCACCCCTCCATCTGTCCCAGGTGGGCTGTGCCTCATCTGGGACAGTCACCAAAAACAGGCAGCAGCGACATGGGGGTGCCACCCATGCTTGGCATGCTGAGCCCGGGCAGCAGGGCCCAGCGGCAACAGTTCTGCGCCAGGGCAGATGCCGCTGGGGAGAAGCCCACTCGCGCTCAGGTCTCGCAGGGAGGACGCCATGCTGACCTGGGCAGAGGCCGGGCGGTGGTGACGCCAGGCCCACCAAGGGCAGTGAACTGCCTGGAGAGGGAAAGTGGTCAAATGAGGCCGCCTCTCCGCTTCCTCGCCCTGGGTCCTGGAGTGGGGGGATGTTGCCAGGGCCACCACCTGGGGCAGCTCCACACTCTGGGAGGGCAGCAGAAGCAGAAGTCTGGCCCCTAAACGCTGTCCTCCCGGCATTCGCGTGGTGGTGTTGTGTCTCCCAACTCTGGCTGGGCTTCACTTACTGAATCAACAGGACAGTGGACTGATGGGCAGTTCAGGTCGAGGGAGCCTGGCAGCTCCTGCTTCCGTGCTGCGGCGCCCTGAGCTGCCATGCGAGAGGTCAGACTACGCTGACGGGGGAGAGGCCCTGCGATGACGTGGAGGGAAGCCCACCACTCGGCACTGTGGCCCTGAGCCTGCAGCCAGTGGAACAGCCACACAACCCACAGCAAGGAAGCGACTGTCCAGCTGAGCCCAAGGCCCTGAGTGGAGAATCATTAGCAAGCAGAACGACTGTGGTTTGCAGCCACGCACAGCCAACACAAGCCCAGTCCATCAGCACGCTTCTCATCCCGCAGGTGAGACGGAGCTGAACCCACGCTGTTTCCTCCATTTGGGCTGTGTTCCCACAGCGCAGGAGGACAAAGAACACCCGTGTCCCCCAAACCCGTGTGTGGGCAGCACAGCTTCTCACAGCGCATGCCTCACGAAGGAACTTTAGAAAGCCCCCTGCCAAGGACACTGAAGCCCAAATAGGATTCCAAGTAGCTCCTGCATGATGCTCTCTGAGAAACAGGTCTCTCCAACTGGATAGAAATCCAATGGAATATAAAAATGCCGAACAGAGCAGACCAGGTGAGGGGCTGAGCAGAGACACCCCTTCACCGTGAAGTAGGGTGTCTGGACAGAGTAAAGATGATGACTGGACCGGGCGGCACACGGACAGGAGTGCAGGAAAGACGTCGCGGACTCAGAGAAATACAACTGACTGCGCTCACCTGCCGCAACCCCGAGCCACACACCTGGCGCACCAGCCTTCTGAAGGACAAGAGCTCCATCGGGCAGGACGATGGCGAAGAGTCCTGCGTCCTGTCCTACCTGAGCCCTACAGGGACTCATCCCCCCAGCTTCTTCCCGGAAACGCCCACGCCATTCCGAGGGTGGGCTCATCTATTTCTCTTAAACACACACCCACTTTACACAGACAGACCTCTTTGTACCATCAGTTGGCAACGCCTTAGCCACTTTCACTATAAATAGATCTGTTGCTAAATTGCGCACACATTTTAAGATGAATCTGCATTCAAAGTATGAAAACCAAGCCCCAGCTGGTTTGGCTCAGCAGTTAGAGCATTGGCCCCCCTCGGACCAAAAGGCACAGGGTTCAATTCCTGGCCCTTGTTGGGATCATGAGAGAGGTAATCAACTGAGGTGTCTCTCACATCGATGTTTCTCTCTCTCTCCCTCTCTATCTAAAAATCAACGGAATACAAGGCCTGGGGTGAGGGTTAAAAAAAAAAAAAGTGTGAAAAATAGGAGGAAGAAGAAACCCGCAGGCCCGCCTTTTTCAGGATGAAGTGACAAGGGAAGACGTCGGGGGAAGAACACTGGACGAGCGCCCCAGACTGCAGTTAGGTGGTGGCTCTGGGACTTCGAAAAGCAGCCAACGGAATGGGCACCTGTTGGGAGCCAAGCATCGACCTGGGGCCCGGAGACCCAGTATTATTCGGTCCAGAGGAAAACCCAAATTACTTGCTGTCTACTCTGGACATCCTCTCCAGCCTTCTGCAAAAACAGGAGTAATAGGCTGACTGTCCAAGGCTGTCGTTGGGGTCAAGGGAAGGATCAGGCATCAAGTCGGGTCAAGGTGCATTATGCAAATTCTCGTCATTCCCCATGGGGGGGGGGGGCGCGGAGAGGCGCCCTCCAGAGGGCTCAGGCAGTCATTTCACAAATAGGTGAGACACAAGCCTTTGGTCGTGGGCCCGCAGCAGACCCGCTCCCCCCCGGGAGGGAGGCCAAGGCTAAGCAGCGTGCGGTGTGTGGACTGACGTCCAGCTGCAAGGGTGCGGTGCGTGCCCCGCCCGCCCACTCCGGCGCCCCGCTGACCTTGAGCGAGGCCAGGTGGGCGATGTCGGGGCTGAGCTCCCGCAGGCAGTTGTCGGCGGCCGCCAGCTCGCTGAGCAGGGGCAGCGCGCCCGGGCGGAAGAGCTCGGCGGGGAAGGCGTCCAGGCAGTTGCCGGTGAGGTTGAGGGTCTGCAGGCGCGGGGCGCAGCGCGCCAGGTCGGCGGGCAGCTCGCGCAGCCGGTTGCCGCTGAGGTTGAGGCTCTGCAGCTGCGGGAGGCCCGGCGGCTCGGCGGGGCCCAGGCCCTGGCCCGGCGGCAGCGCCTCCAGCGCGTTGCCCGACAGGTCGAGCACGCGCAGCGCGGGCAGCGGGCCGAGCTCGGGGCTCAGGCCGGGCCCCAGCGCGTTGCGCCGCAGCACGAGGCTCTGCAGCTGCGGGAGGCCCTGCGCCAGGCCCGGGCCCGGCTCGCGCAGGCTCCCGCAGCCGCTCACCTCCAGGTAGTGCAGCAGCGACAGCGTGAAGAGCCGCGGCGGCAGCCGCCCGCCCGCCGCCCGCACGCGCTCCTCCAGCGCCGGCCCCGTGAGCAGCAGCTCCCGCCGCCGCTGCCGCTCCGCCAGCTCCAGCTCGGGCCAGGCCTCGGACACCGCCGCCGCCGCCATCGCGCCGCCGCCCCTCCGCCGCCGCCGCCGGGCGCTTCCGGGGCACGTCGTGGCGTCACTTCCGGCGAGGACCGGAAGGGGCGGGGCGACGCGCTCGGGCGCGGGGATTGTCCCGCCACGTGGGCGTCGCAGCGTCGGGCACCAAACGAGGGCTTCCTCCCGCCCCTGGGCCCCGAGCCCTGCACCCAGAGGCCGGGGAGCAGCAGGCAGCGACCCTGTGACGAAGGGCAGACTGGCCGGTGCGCCCACACGCCCGCCTCCCGCCCCGCCGGCGATGCCCGGGAGGACGAGGGCCCGCGGAGGCTTGGAATCCGGGCTGCACCGCGGAGTGCGGGCGGGGCGGGGGCGGCCGGGGGAGCCGTGGTCTTTGGGGGTGAAGGTGTGATGTCCCCTCTAGTGCTCCCTCCCGATCGGAGCGCGTCTTCCTGGGCCTGGACAGTTGGGTCTCTTTGCGGGGGTGTTTTTACGCAGACGGGGTGCAGCGGAAACTCCCCGCGTTGGCTGGACTAGTCCGTGCACCAGAGCCGCACATTTGGGGTGTCCTGTCCTACTTCCCTTCAACACCTAACCTGCCTCGCCCGTGGCCCTGGCCTCCAGCCCCTGCAATAGTCTGGGACTGAATCAGCCTTGATGTTTCTATTTTATTTTTCTAAATATGTTTTTAAAAAAATTTCTTTATTAATTTGAGAGAGACAGAGAAACATCAATGAGAGAGAACATCGATGGGCCGCCCCCTGCACGCCCCCTACTGGGGATCGAGTCTGAAACCTGGGCATGTGCCCTGACCCAGAATAGAACGGAACCGGGACCTCTCCTCCATGGGATCAGGCTCAGTCCACTGAGCCCCACGGCTGGGCTTCCTTGGTTTTTTATTTTTTATTTTTTGTCCTCACCTGAGGACATTTTTCCATTTTTTGTTCAGATAGAGTGGGAGGGAGAGAGAAAAACATCGATGTGAAAGGGACACATGTAGTGGCTGCCACCTGCACAACCAACCAGGACCGGGGACAAACTACAACCGAGGTACATGCCCTTAGCGGGAACCGAATCCGGGTCTCTCTGGACCGCAGGCCGGCGCTCTCACCGCTGAGCCAAACCGGCCAGGGTGCAAGACATTTCTTAAAACGGGTGAGCAGTTGGGGATGAGAGCTGAGCTGCACGCCCAGTGAATGCTGATCCAGATGGGAAGGGAAGGAAACCACACAGAACATGTGCTGGATGATTCGTCCGCACAGCTTAAAGCGTGTCCAACTCAAGGCCGTGTTATTTCGGGATACATTCGTGTGTGACAAGCCTGTGAAGACAATCGGGCGTTGATACGTCATTCCTGAAAAGCAAGGCCGAATTCACCGTTTCGTTTCTCTGAAGCCTGAGTAGTGCCTGGGAGCTGCCTGTGCACGGTGTGGGCTCAGCTCTGGCGGGGTGGGGGCTACAGGCAGCTGCGAACTCCCAGGTGCTGTTTAGCGAGGCAAAGCTGCTGTCCTGGGCTGCACCCTGTGGGACAAGCTGTGCTCAGTGGGGGAGGGGCAGGATGACGGAGGAAAGCCGTACAGCAGGCAGCCGACGCTGGTGGGTCACCGCTGCTCTGCACGGGGGAGGGAGCCACTGCCTGCTGTGGGCCGTGCTCTGCCTCCAGGACACGAGGGCGGAAGCTTTGTGAACCCAGAAGAGAAGTGTCCATGGAGCTGAGGGAACAGCCTTTAGAATAGGTCCTAGGGCTGGGAGGAGCCTCCCACTTGAACCCTGCTGTCTGCTTCCCCATCCAGGAGCATCTCCCCTCCCTGCAGGCTCAGCCCTTCCCGCCCTAGCTTAGCTCTGCAGGTAGCAGGCTCATGGGGGCAGGGCAGCAGAGGCGGGGACACGGGGTCACCTCTGGGTGCTGCTTTGCCCATTTCCCTGCCCATCTGGGAGGACACCACCACCTGCCTGGCAAGAGCCTCTCAAAGATGCCCATGGTGGGGTCACAGGGAGCTCGCCTAGGTGCTTCCCGCAGGTCATGGGGTCCCCACTCCAAGCCCTGAGCATTGCCTTCCTCCCCTGGTGGGGTGTGTGCTGCAGACATGCGGGCCCCAGTGGTCACCTGACTGAGCCGTGCATTAGTTACAGGAGCAGGTTCTTGTTTCTAGAACTTGTCGGTTTCTAAGAGCAAACGAGCAGTGGCGTCCACGTACACCTTGCTGAAAGAGCTCAGTTCCCAGACTTATCTGGGTGTGTGCCAACCCGGCCTGAGCAGGTGCCGTCACCCACTTAACCAGGGATGCGTTCTGAGTGTCATTAGGCGACATCCCTGTGTGACAGCGTGCACACAGACCCCTGGACAGTATGGCCCACTGCCCCAGGTGACAAGCTGACCAGGGTCATTGCTCCAAACCCTCACTGCACTGGATGTTCAGCCAACTGTAACAGCCGTTGGCACTGGTGTACCCACACGTACGCAACAGAAGAGGCAGGCAGAACACAGCACAGAAGATGAAATGTGGGCACCTGGACAGGGCTCTTCCTGCGAGGGCTTGAGGGGCTCGTGGGACTGGACGTGGCTCGGGGTGAGTCGGGGGTGAGCGTGGAGGCCTGGGACATGACTGAGCACGTGGGGACACTGTGTACGAAACACCACGAGGCTAAGCCAAGCCCAGAAGAGGATGCCATCAGGAGACCCGGTCAACAGGGCCGGGGCGAGGCTGCTGCGGGATAGCATGGCTGCTGTTTATAGGAACTTTGAAAAACAGGTGCTGAGAGCACACTCTAAAAACTGATGAAAAGTATAGCGGACACATAAACCAGTAACGTCGTCCTTTGTCATCATCAGTGCAGGGCGGTGGCCCCTTCACAGTGGCACCACCACCAATGTGCAGGGATGGAAGTGCTCTGATGGTCCACTGTGATGTCACTGGTGACAGGCCGCCTCCCCCAGTCCCTGATGAGGTCATCACGCAGCACATGGCTCCCATGCCCACCACAGTGCCCGCCTGCCCCTGCCCCCACCCCCCAAATAAAGCATTTGAAATAATTTTTCTGTTTGAAGCCATGATACCCTAAGTTGAAAGCTAATACCTAATTGTGTAAGTTGTAACTTAAAATAGAAACTGATAAAATTATCCAAGCTGATAAAGGCTTACAAACAGTGAAAATTTATAGAGAAAGTGCTACATTTTTACTTATTTGAAGAGCAACACGGCCTCAGTGGCCGGTAGGAATACCCTCTGTGGGGAGGAACACGCGAGGAGGTTCTACACTGGACTCGCAGGCACAATCAGGGCGTCTACAGAACACCCCGACTTCACAGGATAAAACTGGTCATTTTCTCCAATTCATATATATGTAGCTTAAAATCTTTTAGCTTCTTTAGAAGTTAACCCACTTTGACAAATAACTTATGCTGGGACCAGACTCTGTCCTGGCGACTCACCCTTCAGCGCCCCGGTCAGCTGGCCCAGCCACACCGCACATCACCCAGGGAGATGTACCTACAAACTGCTTTGTAATTGTGATCGTGAAATAAAAGTGACAAATAGGTAGTGATCTTTTTATTATATGAATATACTCAAGGTGCATTAACTAAGTCCTGAAACAGCAACAAAAATATATTAGATATTTTATAACGCTGGTACCTGAAATAACGATGAATAGAAAACTCTGTTAAAAAGTTGCAAATTTTCATTAAAAGGATTTACACTGGTATTCTAATGCCAATTTATAGATACAATTCTTTTAAATTAGATGGATAGAATATTCTGAAATAGGAAAATAATAGAAATAAATATTGTTAAATACCCACAACGTATTCATGAATAAAAATTCAACTATTCATTACTGTTCCAAATTCGGATATTAATTCATGGCCAACGTTGTTATTCTTTGTTCTCGGTTCCTTAGTAGTATATACCTCCTATCACCACCACTGCCACGGACCACGTCACCACAAACGCACACGGCTTCTGCAACCGGCAAGACTAACCTGTTTTAAATGCACCCAATTTTGTCAACCGCTAAAAAGTAAACAGTTTTACAAATATTTTTAACTCATAATATATAGAAAACATTATATATATTTATTAAAAATTTTGACTGGCAAAAAAAATAACTTCTTGGTTAATTTTTTTCATTATTGTTCTGTTTAAAAAGTGTTTTGTCTGTTCTTCAACATGGTTTAGAAAATGGCCAACATCTTTTTGAAGCCAAAAAGGATTATTTTGTGATTATCTAGGCATCTGTACTCTGCTCAGCCTAGTAAAGTTTGACATTATTTCTCCCATACTTGTTTACTTTTAGTATCTATTTAAGGTAATTCTGTTGGTCAGGCTTGCTGTGTTTCTAGTCAACCACACGAGAAGGTATTAATTTACTAAAAATGGTGACTGGTTAGTGCAAATGCACGGTTGCCGACGTGGCCGGGGAGCACCCCGCTCAAACAGCTGTTAGCTGCACACATTCTCGGGGCGCAGGGCTAGGAATGGGAAATATTTATACACTATTGTGTGCTACAGATTTCGTCTATCCTGCGTATTTCTAGCGGGATCCTGACAGCCTGCCCCGTGATGCTCAGGAGGAAGCAGACAGCAGACGCCAGCTTCCTGGAGGCTCCAGTGGACTGGGCACCCGGGGAGCATAGGCCTGGATAGGAAGACGCCAGGCATGGCCTCCCTCTGGCCCCCCGAGGCGAGGCAAGTTGAGCTGCTTCGGTGGGGTGGGCAGTTGGCCAGCTGGGTAGGAGACTGGACTTGAGGTTTGGTTTCATCGTTGTAAGTGATGTTTTGGTTTTGAGAATTATATGGTGAGTTTGAGAAAAGTGATCTTATAGCTCCAATTCCAGCATGGCTTGGACAGGGACGGGACAGGCGAGCCCACACCGAGTGCTGCAGGGACCAGTTCTCGGTAACCACGGTTTCCGCTCTCTGACCTTTATTTCTGTGTCGGGCAAACACGGGCTCTGCAGCTGCCGCCGGCAGAGAAGGTGCAGGCAGCCGAGCACACCGTCACCTCCTGTGCCTGACCCTGGCTGGGCCACAGGGGACTCGGGACGGACCGCCAGGCAGAGGCGCAGTGCAGCCTGCAGGAAATCGCCCGCGCCACCTACAGGGCGCTGTGCTTACGGGACGCCCTCAACAGGGACCCGACCCGGCACCTGTTCCGTAAGCTTCCTGGGCCCCGGTTTCGGACTGTGGCTCCGAGCTGGAGAAAGTCAGAGACCCCGTGGCTGGAACCGCAGGAGGGAGGGCAGGTCCCAGCTCAGGGGCTGTGCTTCGGTCAGCCCCACACGGAGCTGCGTGCTGAGGATGGCTTCTGGGAGACATGTTCACGATCAGGACACCGGCTCGGTCCACGCTCGCAGACCAAGGGGACAGGTCCGTCGTGTCACCGCTTCATGTAGGTCCTGCCAGAACTTTTACTCAGGCCCCCCTTTGGGGTGGGAATCTTGCTTCCAGCCTTCGGTGCCGAGGTGCCGGACTTGGCCGTGGCGGGGCCTTTACCTGGGTGGACACAAACACGATGCACAGGCCAGGTTAGGAGGGAGGCTGGTGCACGAGCTGCACACAGCAACGGGAGGCAGAGGGCAGAGGGCAGGGGTCAGCAGACCCTGGGGAGGCCGCGCGAGGGCCGTGGCAGAGGGCAGGGGTCAGCAGACCCTGGGGAGGCCGCTTGAGGGCCTTGGCACTCCTGTCCCTCGTGTGCAGGAGCCGACCCGACGGGGAAGGTCCGCAGAGCACAGCGGTCGCCAGCCCTCAGGTGGCTGCAGGTACACGTGTGGCGGCAGAAAAGGAGGGACCGAGACCCAGAGGAAAGAGACCGAGCCAGCTGCCTATTAACTTCAAACATTCAGCTCCAGAAAGGGGACCGTGGGCAGCCCTGTGACGGGAGCTCCATTTCCTGGCTGAGCGACCCTGGGCGGCCCCTCCGTGGGCCTCGTGTCCTGTTCTACAGGCCGGCACCGGGCACTGGGGACAGACAGGCACACCCGTCCCCGTGCCCTTCTCTGGCTCGCAGCTCGCCTTGCTCGCGCCCTGAGAGGTGCACCCAGGCCTGCGGGGGGAACGCTTTCGTTCTAAGGGACAGTCCCACTCAAGGGGCGGCCCGGCAGCATCCTCACCCCGCAGCGCAGCCGGGGCCTTCAGCAGCACGTGCGTCCGGCGCAGGTTCATGGCGCAGCCCGCGGGGCCCATCAGGTGAGCCTTCCACGCCTGCAACGAGAGGCCGGTGTGGGCGGAGGGCGGCTCTCACCGCCCTGGCCCTGCTGGGGCTGCGGTGGCAGCGGCCACACTGGGGGCCTGCAGGGCCTCGCCCCCCGCCTCCTGCCGACCGCCTCTGGGCTCAGCCGAGTGCCTGCCGTCCACAGCCCTCCCAGACAGCACCTGGGCTCTCGTGCCCTGGAGCACAGCACAGGAAGACTGAGGGTGTGCAGGTGGGTGAGATTCGGGGAGCACACGGGCGGGGCCTGGGGGGGCCTCTCGGAGCTGAGACGGCAGGGGCCCCGCCCTACGATGGCAAAGAGAACAGCCCACCAGCCCTGAAAGAGCTCCGGAGGGCCTTCCCCGCCCGCCACACCCGCCACAGCCGTGGGCCCCAGCAGAGGCCGAGCTCGGGGGCTGCACACGGGCCGCCCGGCGTGTGGGCATCTGCGCAGCAGACACCGAGGCGTGCAGAGCGGGGGGCAGCAGCGGCCTGCGGCACTGCAGGCAGGACAGGACGTCCGGGAAGGCGGGAGCTGGAGCCGACGTGAGCCCGCTCGGAGGAGGGCACAGCCACCACGAGATGGGACTGGCAGCCAGCGGGCGAGTGTGAAGGTGACGATGACAGAAACGGGCCCAAGGCTCTGGAAACCGACAGGGAGAGGGAACGCGTGTGCATCCAGGCTGCTGCTATTTAAGAAAAGGAGAGACCACGAAAACGTGTCCTCTAGGGATAGTGAGCAGAGCAGGGGCGGCAGCCGTGCCCGGGCCTCTCGGAATGCGCCTCACTTCACAGCCGGCGGGGTCGTCCGCCTGTGCTAGCTCATCACGGGACTTAGTCTCACTAAGCACTTGAAAACTGAATGGGAAATGAAACAAATGAGCCAAACGTGTCCCTAGCTGGTGGCACACACTAAGATGGGGCAAGGACCGGCCTGGGCACAGGTGGCCTGCCGCTGCCCGCCCGGTGGGAGTGCTGGCCCTGCCCCCCTGAGCCCCCTGCCCCCCTGAGCCCCTGCCTGGAGAGCAGGCTGGCCAGCTAAGAACTGGGGATGTCGCAACGCTAACGTCTCCAGGGGCTGGAAAACCGTCCTGAGCCCTCCTGCCCTCCTGCCCTCCTGCCCTCCTGCCCTGAGAGGTTCCTGGGAGAAAGGAAGAGGCCAAAGAAAGCCTGCAGCTCACTCAGGATCGAAACGTGTGATTTCGGATGGACAGGGTGGGTGAACACAGGGTCACAGGTGCTCGTACGGAACCTAACACGATAGACGATGACACGAGCGTAAACTCTGGCCCTGGCTGGTGTGGCTCCGTGGACAGAGCGCCAGCCCGCGCACTGAAGGGTCGCAGGTTTGATTCCTGGCCAAGGGCAGGTACCTGGGTTGCAGGTTCAATCCCTGGCCCTGGTCTGGGTCTTGCAAGAGGCAACCCATTGATGTTTCTCCCTCTCCCTCCCGTCCTTCTACTCTCTCTAAAATCCAGTGGCAAAAATATCCTTGGGTGAGGATTAAAAAACAATAATAAACTCTGTCCCGTGTGCTCACAGCTGTAAACTGCATCTGCCTGAATGTTCCCTGGCTTTGTCCACTGAGACAGAGGACGGGCCGACCAGGAGCTCAGCGTCTGAGGTGCCTATGGTGGCCCTGAGGTACCAGTCTCACCGAGGGGACAGGCCTCCTTGAGGAAGGGCTGACCAGCTCGGAGCCCTCCCACGTGGCCAGGGAGCTCTGTGTCCCTTGGGTTCCTAGCAGCAATGTCAGGCCGTTCGAAGGGCCCCAGGGGCGCGAGATGGGACCGCCATGCCCGCGAAGGGTGGCACAAGGACAGACCTGACGGTGCAGGGACACGGCAACACTGAGCATGCGAGCTGCCCCGGGGCACACGAGCGACCCGGTCAGTCACCTAGAAACCAGTCCCCAGGGAGAGGACGTGCGCTTAGCCTTCTGGTGGGAGTGCAGCCCAGCAGCCCCAGGGCAGAGGGAAGCTTCTGCTCAGGAGCCAGCCCACTGGTGCCCGGGACGCAGTGGCAGCCCCAAGCTGACGACCTGGCCCAGGAGTCAACTCTCACTCACGTCACACCGTCAGTGGCTTCCCTGTGGATGGCCAGCGACACTCACCCCTAACCTCGCCCAGGAAGCCAGCGGTGCCCACCCTAGTCCCGCACACCACCTGGAGAGGGGCTGAGGCTGCGTCTGCTCAGGCCACAGCCCACCCTGCACTGTGCAGGGGACGTGGTCACTGACACCAAGGGGACAGTGGGCAGCAGCTCACCACAGGAGCTTAAGATGGGACCAGTCTGGGCCATGCGCCCCGACCCACGAGGCCACGGCCCACAGCACTGCAGAGCCCGTGGGCGCCCCTGTGGCTACCAGGAGGCTCACAGGGGCCGCCTGCACCGGAGGCCACGTGCCAGCGGAGGAGCTTCCCCAGGACCTGGAGAGAGCACCTGGGCAGGCGGGTGGCAGGTACGCGGAGGTGACAGGCACTGTGGGTGCCGCAGGTACCCTCAGCCCTGCCGCATGCTCGGCTAGGCGTCGGGCACTTTCTGAAAGGAGGAGCCCAGGCAACTGGAGAGGCGAAGGCTCAGAGCGGCTGGGCAGCCTGTGCCCACTGCTCCACCAGCTCCCGTGGCCGAGAGGAGCGGCAGATGCTGTGGCCCCGGCTGACTTGCTGGCACCTGGTCCCGAGGCTGGGACAGGAGGCCGAGCAGCAGCAGGTGGTCGGGAGGCTGTGGCTAAGGAGCTGGGAGGGAAGAGCTGAGCAAGGCAGGCCCAGCTCCCGCCCTCTGGCCCCCCAGCCTCAGGGCAGGCCCAGCTCCCGCCCTCTGGCCCCCCAGCCTCAGGGCAGGCCCAGCTCCCGCCCTCTGGCACCCCCCAGCCTCAGGGCAGGCCCAGCTCCCGCCCTCTGGCCCCACCCTCCACACCAGACAGGTGTGGGGGTGGGGGATGGAAGGCCCGTACCCCACTCCCAGCCACTGCGGCCCAGCGGCTCACACGGGAAGGGAGGAGGGCCTGGGATGGGACTGGAAGTAGAATTTCCAAACCAGACTGGCCGGGCTCACTTTCGTTCATCAAAGGGGACCAGAGTGCTGCTGAGTGTGGCCGTGTTGGCCAGTGAGGGCCCCGACGCTCAGGAGAAAGCATAGCCTGGGGACAACAGGCCCCTCCAGGCGCCGGTCCCCAGGGCTGAGCCTCAGGACAAGTGCAAGGCCCTGTGGATGGCCCGGGAGAGCTGCTCCGTGCCCGCGCCGGGCCTCACCTCCTCTCCTGGGGCGAAGTCCTCGTGGCACAGCGGGCACCGGCTGGCCAGCTTCTCTGGCTTGGCAGCTGCAATGGTGTCAGCGGGACAAGACTCAGCTGTCCTGTGGGACTTGGGCGGGGCAGAGGAGCGGACGTGCCCTGTGCCGCCCGGTGGACGCTGCCCTCACAGCCCACCCAGCGGGGCCCGGGCCACTCACGGGCACAGACTCTTGTTTCAAGGTGCACAGGCAGCTCTTCCTTTAAAACAGCCTCGCCGCAGCGACGACACTTCCCAAACTCATCCTTTTTGTCGCATTCTGTCAGCAGGTGCTCGGTCAGGCTGCAGATCTCCACCACCTAGATCCGAAATGCAGAGCAGAGCCTGCTGCAGGGGACACGGTGGGTGTCCTGCCCGGCCAGCACCACCTGTGCCTGTCCCCCTGCCCGTGACCACCAGTCCCCGTTGCTCGAGGGGGTCGGCACGCACATCTGTTGCCTCTGGTTCCTACCCCACCGAGCTCCTGTGGCCATTTATTTACTCGGCCAGAGACCCCATGTCCTCTCAGCATCCCCAGTATCAGGGACACGGTCACGTCATCGTTACATCAAGACCACCGCTGGGGCTGGGACGGGGTGCGATAGTCAGCTCCATGACATGTGCGTTAGGGGAGACCAGCTCGGAGGTGACACGTCCCAGCCGCGGCAGAGAACGGGCACAGAGCCTGGCACAGGTGCCCTGCCACAAGGCTCGGCAGGAGGGGCTCGTGCGCACCCAGAGCTCCGCGCTGGGACCTGCGCCCGGGCAGAGCCAGGCATGCTCGCTGCGGTGAGCGCAGCCCATCAAGCTGGGCACAGCCCCAAGGGCACGGGGCGGCGTTCTCCTGGGAGTCCTCCTTCATAAAACACAAAACAAAAAAACCTTCAGAAGAAAAAAAGGGCCTACTGCACCAGAGAAGGATTAAAATTGGGGTAGGAGAAGGTTTCTTAACCACGAGACGGCCACGGAGAGCACTCGGATGGGAAGTTTGTTCGCTAGGCCCAGTGTGCGCGGCAAAAGGCTCAGGCCAGGAGCATAAAGAGTGATGAAGGTCCGGCCGTGTGGCTCAGTGGTTGACCCTGCACCAAGAGGTCCTGGTTTGATTCCCGGTCAGGGCACATGCCCAGGTTGTGGCTCTGATCCCCAGTGGGGGGCATGCAGGAGGCAGCCAATCGATGTTCTCTCTCATCAATGTTTTTCTCTCTCTCCCTCCCTTCCTCTCTAAAATTAAAAAAAAAAAAACAAACTTAAAAATAACCCCACGAAGGTGCAGAGCCCTCCTGCTGTGCACACGGGCCAGCCTGACGGGCACGCCCCACGGGAGCTCTTTGGGCTGCCTGGCGGGGGCACACATGCAGGTGCAGACGGACAGAGCAACCTGAGCTACACTGCTAAACCCTGAAGGCCCTTCTTGTCTAAACGAGGAACAAAGAACGGCTGAGTCAGCACAGAAAATCAGCATCCGACTTAGAAACATGCGAGAGGCTAGCAGGTGCCTCACAGAAAAGGGCAGCCAGGTAGCCCCAGCCCGCCGTCGCCAGGGACACCTGGCAGCGTGGAGCACGGCCACGGTGGCGGCAGGTGAAGCAGCCCTGCACCCTGCAGGAAGAGCCGCAGGTCCCAGGCCCGGTGTGAGGGCGGACGCGTCCCTGGAGCACACCTGAGTCACACGGCAACCTAGCTCGCAGGCCCAGCGGCCGCACGCCCCACATGCACCAGAGCCCCGGCGGCCGCACGCCCCACACACGCCAGAGCCCCGGCGGCCGCACGCCCCACGTGTAGCCAGAGCCCCGGCGGCCGCACGCCCCACGCGCGCCAGAGCCCCGGCGGCCGCACGCCCCACGTGCACCAGAGCCATGCCTCCGGCACCAGCACGCGTGTTGAGCAGATCGGAGCAGCCTCACTCACAGCCTCACTCAAGTCCCCAACTGCACACGGTCCAGTCCCCAAATGGACACTGGGTAAGTCCAAGCAACAAAATGCGCACAGATGGCACACGCTGCAGGACTCTACTTAGATAAAACTCAAACCGTGATGGTGCCTTTGCACTTGGAGGCGACTTGGCCCAGAGGGCGGTCACACACAGCTGTCTGTCCTGGGACGGCACTTGGACTGTGACGGGCAATACCCCAATAAACAAGCAGCCGCCGCCCCCCCCCCCCAAGCAGGCTGACATGCTGCGCCTTTCCCACCGCTTCCCTGTGCAGGCCGAGTGCCCGCGCCAGCTGACCTGCCTGCAGTGGCCGCATCTGGCCAGCATGAGGCAGTGCTTCCAGTAGTGCAGGTCCAGGCCCTCCTCCGTGAAGGACGCGCTCCGCTCCCCGCAGAAGATGCACAGGCTGCGGACGGAAGGGGCTGTGAGCACAGGCCTGGGGGCCGTCTCCACCCCGGCCTCGAGGGGGAGGTGTGGGGGGTGGGGGGTGGGGGCTGACGGCCCTGTTAAAACTGCCCTGAAAGCAGCTTTGCCGAGCAGGTGTGTCTGACTCCCTTGCCGAGACCCGTCAGTCTAGCTTGTCAGGAGGGCCCGGCACAGTGCTGAGACACAGGCAGGTGTCCCCGGGCCCGGAGCCAGCGCGCTGCTGGTCTCTCCGGCCGGCACTCCGGACGGAGGCCGCGCACTTCTGGGCTGGCCGGGCAGGGGCCTGCCTAACAGAGTTCCTGCTGACCGCTGGCGACGGCCTTTCCCCAGCTCTAAGGATGACTGAAACCCTGGCCAGTTTGGCTCAGTGGTCAGAGCCTGTGGACCGAAGGGTTGCAGGTTCGATTCCCAGTCAAGGGCACATTGGTTGGTTGCAGGCTCGATCCCTGGCTCTGGTTGGGGTTGTGCGGAATGCAGCCAATCAATGTGTCTTTCACATCAATGTTTCTCTCTCCCTCCCTCCCTCCCTCCCTCCCACTCTATCTAAAATCAATGGAAAAATATCCGGGGGGGGGGGTTGTTAAAAAAATAACAAGAATAAAGAAGACAGAGAAGAGCCGACTGGTTCACACAGCCCGGAAGCGGGGCAGCTCTGACAGGGGTCCCTGGGGCTCCTCGGGGTGGGGGTGCTCACTTCTCCAGGCCGGGACTCTCCGGAACTCCGGGGGCACCGGGTGGGGCTGCGCTCCTTCCAAGGGTGTCTGGAGAAATGAGAGAGAAAGCAGTTTAAATAACTTCTTGTGGGAACTGTTTTCAAAGATTTAATGACCAGTTTTTTAAAGTTAGTACGTTTGAGTGGAACGGGTTAAACAAGCAGGTCAGCAAGGTGGCGGCAGTCACCACCGCCTGGGTGTCCAAATGCACAGGTGAGCGGAGCCCGGGGAGTGGCGCGGAGTCTGCGGCCTCTTGACCTACCTGGGGCCTCTGCCTCCACAGCCTCGCCTTCGTGTTCCTGAGATACAGAAGCAGAGCGATCAGGACGAGTGGCTGAGAGTCTGTCCCGATGCATCTCAGTCCGGGAAGGCTCCCCGGTGTCTGTCGGCGCTTGGTGCAGACCCACAGCGGCGGCTCGGTCCTGCCTGGCGATGCACAGTCTCGGACAGGGGACTTCAAGGCCTGTGGTCTCCCTCCCCCGGGTCCTGTCCCCAACTCCGCAGAGATCACCTTCGTTAAGGCCACCCTCCCAGTGCTCACATCAGTGTCCCCCCTCACTGGGGCTCAGAGCAGCACACGAGTCCTCAGCCCCTCTCCTCGAGTCCCTTCCTAGTCTGGCTCCCAGGGCACCCCACTTCCCCCTGCTTCCCCAGCTGCACCTTCCTGGCCCAGGCCTGCCCCCCTGGGCTGTCTGCCTCCTCCAGTGGGCTCCCTCCGCCCCAGGCTCAGGGTCCTCTTGGTCCGTGCAAGGAGCCCCACCAACAAGCCATCAGCCCGGGCCCTGCAGCTGGCTCAGCACCCCTGCTGGGGCTCTGTCACCTGCCCCTCTGTCCCCAGCCTGCCCTCCCGCTCCACACGCCTGCCCCTCCATGAGCTCGTGGTGATCCAGTCCCGCAGGTGGTAAAACCTGGGCAGCTGGTGCTCCCCACGCCCCAGAGCCTCCATCAGACAGGTCAGCAGACCCTGTGGGCTCATTTACCCTGGGCTCCTTGCCACCTCCATGTCCGCATGCTCCAGGTCCCTGCTCCTGGCCGGGGCCCAGGTGTGCACTCGGTGCCGCCTTCACCAGAAGCCCCCACCCTCCCCGCGGCCCCTCCTGAGGGACGTCCCTCCCTGTGCAGCCATCAGAGAGACCACTGCAAGCTCCTCCAGACCCCAGGGCCGGGCAGGGACGCCCGCTCCGTCTCGCCTCCTTGCAGACTCAGGACAGAGGGCTTCCCAAGGGGGCTGTCTGCCGGAAACCTCACCTTTTCCTTGGTAATAGTTTTTTAAACTTACTTTATTTCTGTTATAGATGTTTCTCTTTTTTCCCCCATTGGCACCCTCCTCCCTTCTCCCATGCCCCCCATCTTCATAGTATTGTCTGTGTCCATGAAACCTCACCTTTTAAAAAATTTTTCTTTATTGATTTTAGAGAGAGGAAGGAAGAGGGAGAGAGAGAGAAACATCGATGAGAGAGAACACCTACTGGCCGCCTCCTGCACGCCCCCCACTGGGGATCAGGCTCACAACCTGGGCATGTACCCTGACTGGGAATCGAACCGGCGACCTCTTGGTGCACGGTCCATGCTCAACCACTGAGCCACACCGGCCGGGCAAACTGCACCTTTTCAATGCATGGAAATCAGATCTTCAGGGTCAAGCTTATTTTCCCATTGACCGCTGACAGAGGCTAGGGAGCGCAGAGGACAGGGTCCCTCCGCGAGTCTCCGCCCCACGCCTGGAGTTCGCTCTCAGCACCGGCAGCAGCTCACCCCACCCCAGGAACAAAAGCTGCGCACAAGTGAGCTGAGGAGGGTCCCTTCCTTCATCCCAAGGCAGCTCGAAACCGAGAAACGAGACGCCCGTTTGCACACGGCAGTGAAAACCGCACAAGTGAGCTGACGCCTGCGACACGGAGCCCACGGCCACAGGCTCCCGCCAAAGCCCAGCGTGGAACATGTGGACTCAGTCCACCTGGACCCCAGCACCTGGTGACCCTGGCCCCACGTGGACATCTAGCCTACCTGGACCCTGTCCCAGGTGACGCCGGCCCACGTGACCCCGCCCACACGTGAACACCTGCACCCCGGCCCACGTGACCCCGCCCACACGTGAACACCTGCACCCCGGCCCACGTGACCCCGCCCACACGTGAACACCTGCACCTCGGCCCACGTGACCCCGCCCACACGTGAACACCTGCACCCCGGCCCACGTGACCCCGCCCACACATGAATACCTGCACCCTGGCCCACATGACCCCGCCCACACGTGAACACCTGCACCCCCACCCACGTGACCCTGCCCACACGTGAATACCTGCACCCTGTTCCACGTGACCCCGGCCCAACTGCCCCCCCTTCACATGTGACCCTGGCCCACCTGCCACCATCCCACGTGACCCCGCCCCACATGACCCCGCCCACCTGGACTTCAGCCTGCATCTCTTTCAGCGCTGCCAGCTGCCCTTGTAAAACTTCAATTTCTTCTTTTTTCCGTCTTTCTGCTTCTTCTGTAGCCGCTTTCTTCTGTGCCTGGTGTGAGAATAACTTTTATCAGAAGAGGGGGAGGGCAGCCTCGGAGGCGGGAGACGCATCACCCTGCCCGGCACACGCGGTGGCAGCACCAGGACCACAGTGACGGCCACGCGCAAGGCTTCCTGACGGCCAAGTCTGCACGTGTCCTCACGCTATCCCGGCACAGGTGGGAGCCGAGTCCAGCCCGGGGCCCGAGCTCGCAGCGCGCGGTGTCTCCTGCACACGCGGCCCTCGAACAAGCACGCGTGCTCCCGCCTGACGGCTCTGCCACAGGCAGCAGGCCACGGCGGCACAGCTCACTCACCCTGACCTCAGCAGCTGTCGGTCTGCCGTCTATTTTGGCAAATCCCTCGAAGATGGACTTGTAGAGGACGTTCTTGCGCGTGGCGCTGTCGTCCGGAGGGAGGTAGGCCAGGACGACGGCCCCGTGCCGCCGGTACATGTCCAGGATCACCCTGACGGCGGTCTCCCGGACCTCGTGCACCCTGTGCTCCAGGGCCTGCACTGCGAACTGAGCACAGGGGTTTCCCGCGTAAACGAACAGGCACGTCATGAAAACCCGCAAGCAGGGCGAAGAGGGTGCCCACGGAGCCCAGCGGCCGGGACAGCCTCCTCAGGTCGCTGGCTCGCACTGACCCAGGCACGCTCAGGCTGGACACAGCGTCTGCTTCTGTCCACTTAGGCACCCAAGTCCTTTCTAGGTATGTCCTTCCCTGTGCTGGGCGTCAGGGTCACAGACTGCCGTCCGCGCAGAGGGAAGGGACAGAGCCAGCTCCTTGCAGCAGCTGTCTGGGTGACCCGGTGTGACAGCTGGCTCCCAGGCTCCCTCCACGGCCAAGTGCACATCCTTGCATGTGAGCACACGCCACACTGTGTGGCCCTGGTGGTATGGCATCAGCCCGTGGACCAAAGAGTCACAGGTTTGATCCCCGGCCCCGGTGGGGGTCGTGTGGGAGACAACCAACCGATGTCTCTCTCACGTTCGTGTGTCTCTCTCCCTCCCCCTCCCCTTCCACTCTGAAGAGGAAAATCAGTGGAGAAATGTGCTCGGGTGAGGATGAAAAAGAAACACACGGTGCCCATCACCCAGCCACGCCCCACCAGCGCCACGTTCGAACCCTGTGTGTGTCCTTCCCCGTGGCCCTTTCACCTACTGCTTCACAGTCCTGTCCCACAAACGCATCACAGCGCACTGACCCCATCTAGACGGACGCCGTGCCTGGGAACAGTGCCGTGGGGCCCGCCTCCCCGGGGCCTCCTCACGCCCACGGAATCTGCCCGCCGCGCACTCCTGGGGGTCACCAGGACCTGTCCCTTCCAGCCGCGGCACCACCTCTAAAAGCGCCGCCTCAAGCGTCCCACCCTACGGGTGCCCCCTGCCCCGCTGGCTCATTCCTTCTGTACCACCTCCCCGACAATCCCTCCACCCCATCGGGACCTCCGCCCTGTCCGGACTGGCTGCTCCCTCCAGTCCTCGCTGCCCTGCGTGCCCAGCCTGGAGAGTGTGGTCCATCATGCACAGGGGTGGCACCCATGCAGCCTCAAAACCCGGGACCCCACTTCCTCTCCGCAGTCACCGGATGAAGCGGGATGTGGCAGCAGACTTGGGGATCACGCTGGCCGGCTGCGCGCTGGCCTTTTGGCCCCGCAGAGGACAGGTCCCTGGCGCCGCGCGGTAGGCTGGCCGGCACCACGCTCCCTGACGTCCTGCTGAGCGCTTCCTGTCCGCGGACCACCAACCCACCGCCCGTCCTCGGCTTCAAGCTGCCGAGCTCCTGTCGGGGCGAGGACTTGTCCCTGCTCCTGAGCCAACCTTCTGTGTCTACTGGGCCCTGTCCCTGGCTCTTCGAGAACTTCACTTTGGTAGCCATCACCCCCGTTTCCTGCTTGTGTCCCGTCTCCTCCTCCTCCCTGCGCCTGGACAGTCCCCAGCGTTCACACAGACAAGCACAGGGCTCTCTGCTCAGAGTGGTCACTCACAAGGCCCAGGCCCCTTGGACTCAGTGACATGGGGTGGGAGGGGCTTGGCTGACAGACACCTGCCACTCATCCTCCAGTCGTGTCCTTCACTGGGTGGCCTCAGGTGACGTGAACGTGGAGCCAGCACACCGGAGAGACGTCGCACCCTGCGGGCTGCACTGGACCGAGACACGTGCGCCTCCACCGGGGCACCGGGAGCAGCGGCCGCGTGGCCGGCTGTGACGGACGCTCCGACTGGCACCCAGGGGTGGGGCGCTGCCGGTCAAGAGCGTCAGCATGTGAGGTGGGCTCGGCGCCTCTGCGGTGGGGGCAGGGAACTGAGCGTGGGTTCAGAGACGAGGGCGAGTGGGACGCCCGCGAGTCTGAGACGCAGGCTGGGCGATGGCTGGGCCTGGTGCCCGCCGTGGGTGTGGGGCAGGCCGGCTTCTGCACGACCTGAGGGGCGAGCCCACAGCATGGCTGAAGCTGGCTGGACACCGGGAGGGGCCACGCCCGGGCGTGTGGGTGGGAGTGGGAGGCAGAGCTGGGTGTGGACACAGCTGTGTGCAGCTCCCTGACACCCGTGGGAGATGCAGAGTGGGCGGCGGCAGGTGAGTCAGAACTTCAGGGAGGGCACAAACCCGCAGGCAGACATCTGAAAGTCTCCATCAACGGGGAGGGGCGGACGACACCCCAGGGCGATGTGTACAGAAAGGGGACGAGCGAGGCCTGGGGACTCCAGACACAAGAGTCAGGACGACGAGGGGGAACCAGCAAAGGGACCGGGACCAGGAAGGTGGGGAAGCCAGGGCCGCGTGGCCTTCTGGCTGCCAGGTGGAGAGTGTATCTCAAAAGGGGTGTTTATCCCGTGTCTGAGTCACAGCTCTGTGGACAGAACAGGGGATAAACACAGGCCTCTGTGACCCTGGCACAGTCACCGTCAGGTCGGGGCCGGGTCCTGAGCCGACAGCGTGTGGGGCTGGAGGGGAGGACAGGCCCCAGTCCCATGGCCGCCGCGCCCGCCCCTCCCACCAGGAGGTCACGGGCACCAGGCGGGGCTGCCCTTCGGCACAGGCAACTGAGGAGGAAGGGATCCTAATCGGGCCAAGCCCCCCACAGCGTCCAGGTGCCACCAGGCTGCCTGCAGCAGGGCAGCGCACGCAGGCGCATGGACCCTCCACCACACGGCGTGTCCCTGCCCACAGCGCTCTCTGCATTTGCTGAGCACCTCGGACCACGTCTGTCCACACCACGTGCCCCAGGACTACAGGACGCTGCCTTCCCTGGAGACGCTCACTCGCCCACTCAACCAGCACGGACACCCCTCCCCAGGCACCGCCTTCAGTGCGCGTCACAGTGCGCGTCACACCAGCGGGACACGCGCTTACCTTCATCACGTTATCCACGGTGAAGCCCGTGCCGTCGGTGCCCAGATCCCCCAGCAGCCGGGCCAGGAGGTCCATCTGACTCATGGCCAGGTGGGCCGAAGCGTTGGCTTTCAGTGGCTGAACCAGGTAAGACGGAATCAGCTGGAGAGACTTCACCTCCTTGCACAGGGCCATCTCCTACGGGGACCAACATGGTTAATCCTCTGTCCTAGGAGAGGCCAGAGGCGAGTCAGTGCGACGGCACAGGGCCCTCCGCGTGAGCCCGGGCACCAGGCGGTGAGACATGAGTGGCAGCAGGGTGGACACTGACCAGGCTCACACATCTGTTCGAGGCACAGTAACAAGAACAAAACCCGGAGGGGAGGGAGGGAAGCCACAGCCGCCTGGAGGCTGATGCAGACGAAGAGACAACGGACCCAACCCCTCACGCTTCCCTCCTCAGAGTTCTCAGCCTCAAGAAGAAGGTTTTCTAATTTCTAAAACCCTGAAAGAAATTACCTTCATTTTGTGAATAATTTCAGGACTTATTTTTTTAAAATCCTCACTCAAGGATATTTTTCCATTTATTTTCAGATAGAGTGTGAGGGAGAGAGGGCGAGACAGAAACATCGATGTGAGAGAGACACACTGACTGGCTGCCTCCTGCACGTCCATGAACAGGGCCGGGACCGAACTGCAACCGAGGTCCGTGCCCTTGACCGGAATCAAACCCGTGATTCTTTGGTCCGAGGGCTGACGCTCTAACCACTGAGAAAACTGGCCAGGGCCGTTTGCCAACCCAGAGCGCAACCGTGCACGTGGTCTGGCCGAGGAGACTCCTGACGGGCAAGATGAGGGTGTGAGCACCACCACAAATTCAAATTTCTGGACGAATCGACGTTCCTATCGTCAAGACTGACCAAAGAGCCTGGCTGGTGGGGCTCGGTGGTTGGAGCGTTGTCCTGTGCACCGGAGGGTCTCGGGTTGATGCCCAGGCCCGGCTGCGGTGAGTTCAGGAGGCAACCAAGCGATGTCTCTCTCACATTGATCTGTCCCTCTCTTTCACCTTCTACTCTCTAAAAATCAATGAAAAAGAGCCTCAGGTGAGGATTAAAAAAAAAAAGATTTCCCTGGCTGGTCTGGCTCAGCGGTTAGAGCGTCGGCCCGCGGACCAGAGTCCTGGGTTCAGTTCCTGCTAAGGGCACGTATCTCGGTTGCAGTTTGTCCCCGGCCCTGGTTGGGGTTGTGTGGGAAGCAGCCACTCGATGTGTCCCTTTCACGTCGATGCTTCTCTCTCTTCCTCCCTCTCTCCTTCCCACTCTACCTGAAAATGAATGCAAAAATGTCCTTGGGTGAGGATAAAAAAAAAGATTACAGAAAGATACATAATTATCACTGAGCCAGAAACAGAAAAAGAAGAAAAAACACGGTGCACAAGTCACAACACAGAAGGAACCTGTGCTCAGCAGGTCTGTGGCCAGCGCCCGCGATCACCTCACTCTCCCACAGCTCACGTCCTGCTGAGGAAGTGGCCGCGGACAGCGGCGTGAGCAGTGAGCTCCCAGACGACAGGCAGCCCCGAGCTGTGCACTTAGAGCAGCAGCCACCTGCCGGTCAGGGGGCTGTGGCCCCTGGGCCTCCAACAGAGACGCCAGCAGGGCCACGGCCCTCGGAAGTTGAATGGCTTAAAGAACAAGGGCCCTGCTCTCATCGCGACTCGTCCTCTGCGAGGCGCCCCAGCTCCGCTGCAGGGACAGGAGCACACTGCGCGCCTAGGGGAACCTGCCGCCCCTTCTCCTGCGTCGCCCTCACTTCAACGGGGTGAGTTTGCTGAGTGGAGTGACACTGAGTCCCTCCAGGAAAGTGGCCCCTTTGGGAAACTAAAAGCTCCGGGCTCCTCCCGTGAAGAATGTGCAGCTCACAACTGGAGCAGCTCCGGGAGCGCAGACCTTCTGCAGCCCGAGGCCCCAGCTGACGACGCAGACGCGCAGCCGCTGCCCCGGCACCCGGCTCCGCACGCCAACACCTGGCCTGGAGCACGCACGCTCGTCGGAAGAGGGCGAACGTTCTCACCAAGACAGTGACACCTTTGCTGCTGTCTAACCCCGAAGTTTCTATTCTGATGTAGTTTTCCGTGTTTCTACTTATTTTACAAATTAACAGCGAATGTTGGAAGGAAGCGCGGGAACACCGCGGCACCTTCCCATCAGCGTTCACGCCCAGGCAGGTGCACCTGTCAGAGCCCGAGGAGCGCCAGGGGCTCCACGCCAGAGGGCCAGGGTGCCAGCAGACACGGACCTGCTGAGTCTGCGCCCAGTCCAGCCCCCAGGGCTACGCCCACCGCGCCGTCGGTACCTGACGGGACACCGTACCTGGATGAAACTGGAAGCTACAATCCGGAGACGCGCAGAAGAGTCTCCAGTCCTCGCAAGCAGAACGGGGATGGTTCTCTCCACGCAGTGAGCCGTCTCGAGCTTGCTCAGCTTGTGTTTCGGGATGTACTGTGTGACTATCATCTTCAGCACTTTCAAAGACGCCAGGAACACCTGAGCAAAGTGGGGGCGTGGATGAGCTGCGCTCGGGGACCCGCAGACAGACAGGGAGCGCTGTCAGCAGTACGACATCCTGCTGAAACCTGCGTGCCTGCAGGGCTGGAAGCGGCAAACTGAGAGGGGCTCTCAGCCCAGCTCCTCGCGGAGGGACATGTTCCCAGTCCCTGGTGGGCGAGTGCCCCGCGCTCCGGCCGCCGCGTGTCCCAGAGCCCCGCTCCCCGGGGCGCTCATCTGGGGCCTTTCGGAGTTAGCAAACTCAGCAGTGACCTCCAAGCCGCAGGCTTCATGGAAAACAAAAACAGGACTGGACATTCGTGAGTCTGGGGACCAGGCCCCCGTGGCTTTGAAGAGCACGAAAGCGGGGAGACCATTCAAGACCAGTGAAGATGACGAGCAAAGACAGATGCCCGGACTCCTCACCGATGCCCTTCCTTAATTGCTGGGGACGCCGCGGTGAAGCTGACCGCCATTCCGGCGACCACGAAGCCTCTCTTTGGGGACACGGGGGTGCTGCGGCTGGCGGACTCACCGGGGTCACGATGTCCCGGATGGCCCTTCTCAGGAGAAAGACAGCCGCCCTCAGCACGCTCTTCAGGTCTTCCCTGGGGGTGCTGGCAGGCGTGCCCATCAGCTGCCGGTGCAGGGTGAGCAGCGCGTCCTCCCGGCATGACCACGACTTTGAGTAGGCCCCGGCCACCTGCACACAAGTGCTGCTTACCCTGTGGCATCCGCGCCATCACCGCACCCGGCACTGGCTGCGGAGCCTGCTCAGATGCCGGGACTGCCACAGGGTGCAAGTGCGCACACACAGAGGCCACCTGTCTGCAAGGGGACCTGGCCACCATGGGGACCTGGCCGCCGCGGGGACCTGGCCACCACGGGGACCTGGCCGCAACGGGGACCTGGGGACCTGGCTGCAACGGGGACCTGGCCACACGGGGACCTGGGGACCTGGCTGCAACGGGGACCTGGCTGCATGGGGACCTGGCTGCAACGGGGACCTGGCTGCAACGGGGACCTGGCTGCATGGGGACCTGGCTGCAACGGGGACCTGGCCACCACAGGGACCTGGCTGCAACGGGGACCTGGCTGCATGGGGACCTGGCCGCAACGGGGACCTGGCCGCAACGGGGACCTGGCTGCAACGGGGACCTGGCCACCACAGGGACCTGGCTGCAACGGGGACCTGGCTGCAACGGGGACCTGGATAGAACGGGGACCTGGCCGCAACGGGGACCTGGCTGCAACGGGGACCTGGCTGCATGGGGACTTGGCTGCAACGGGGACCTGGCTGCAACGGGGACCTGGCTGCTTCGGGACCTGGCTGCAACGGGGACCTGGCCACCACAGGGACCTGGCTGCATGGGGACCTGGCTGCAACGGGGACCTGGCCGCAACGGGGACCTGGCCGCATGGGGACCTGGCTGCAACGGGGACCTGGCCACCACAGGGACCTGGCTGCATGGGGACCTGGCCGCATGGGGACCTGGCTCGAACGGGGACCTGGCTGCAACGGGGACCTGGGGACCTGGCTGCAATGGGGACCTGGCTGCAATGGGGACCTGGGGACCTGGCTGCATGGGGACCTGGGGACCTGGCTGCAACGGGGACCTGGCTGCAATGGGGACCTGGCTGCAACGGGGACCTGGCTGCAATGGGGACCTGGGGACCTGGCTGCAATGGGGAGCGGTCGGAGCTCTGCCAGAACTCCCGTGGCCGGGAACTGGGGACGCGCACAGAGCGCCGCGCAGCGCACCCCCACGGCGGCCCCCTACCAAGCTTTCTCCCAGCACGTCCACGGCCGAGCCGGCTTCTCGGAGGGCCTTCTCTGTCAGGGGCTCTGGCTCGCCCACAGCTGCCCCCCTGGGCGCCTCACTGACGTCCGTGTCGCTCTTTTCTGGCTCCACAGTCGCTGCCCTGGGCTGCTTGTGGACCGCAGGAAGGGGCCGCTCGTCATAGGGCAGGGACTCGAGCTGCAGGAGAGGGAGGGGTCTGCAGAGCTGCGTGGGCACCCGCCCACCATCTGCACTGTGGGCCAGCCGCTCTGGCCTCCCTGGTCTGAATGAGGGTTGTGACACAGTGTTGTCAGGCAGACGCGTGGACAGGCAGCAGGGCCTGGCCGACACAGTGCAATCGAGCTGCTCCAGGCCCCATCGAGCCCCGTCTGTGTGCAGACGCCTGGCCAGGGCCAGCAGCGCTGCCCTTCAGTGCAGGGAGACCACTTTCTTCGCTGCAAGTGAGCGCCAACCCGACTTCAAGCATGCTCACTGCCCAGCAGCCTTTCACGGTCGCCCGCCAGCCTCTCCCGCACAGGCAGCCGTCTGTCCGTCCGACCCCTGGGCCTTCGGCAGACTGCCTGAGCCCGACCCTGGCCCCGGCCCGGTGCCCCATGTGGAGCAGGAGCAGGAGGACCCGCCCTCCCAGGCTGCCACTCTCAGGGGAGACACACAGACAAGTCGGTCTGAAGCCAACTGTCAGGTAATGAAGGGAAGGCAGACAGTGTCCCCGCGACCTGTTCCGAGGTGGGTGTCAGGTACTGAGCGAAGCGTTCCTCATACCAACGCTTGGGGGTCTGAGTGTACACAGGCAACAGGAGGGTCTCACGTTCCCATGGCTGCTCTTAGTGTGAAACGAAGCACAGAGGTGCCAGGGAAGGAGAAAGTAGCACTTTTAAATGGAAGTATGAAGCTGAACTAACAATTAAGCTGTGATGAGATGTTGGGGGGATGATGGGGACACTCAGCTGTGCCCTGGGAGCCTCCCGCTTGCGCAGGTCCCTGGGCGGCAGACACCTGCCCGTGCCCACCTGGCGACCCCTTCCTCCCAGAGCTGCGGGCACACGGTGCAGTGGAAGCCCAGGAGGGAGGTCCTGACAAGCCCGCGGGCCTTTTCCCTCCGCCCTTGTCACGCCGCGGAGGCTGGTGTGTGACAGGCCAACGTGAGCAGGTGGACCTGGGGACCTGTGGTTAGAAGGAGACGCGCTCTCCTCGGAGGGTAACACGTTCAGAGTGTGCCGGGGCCACGTGGCAGGAAACAGCTGAGAGACAGGAAGCAACCAGGCTCCCGGTGCCACCGCGGGGCTGAGTGCCACCCACAGGACCGCAGGCTCCTGGTCACGGGCGCCAATGCCCGTCTGAGGCAGGTGTTCTGCCACTCGCGTCACATGGCCACCCAGGCGTAGTGGCCACACGACATGCTCTGAGGTGAGCTCACACTGCGCGGTCTCAGCCTCCTGCGGTCCCTGCGCAGGCGCCCGTGTGTGTTGCCGGAACAACAGACACAGGTGCTGCCCTGTGCCCGGGAAGGCATGACTGTGCTGGCCGCTCATGTCCCGCGTCTGCCTCCCCTCGGGAGGGGCCCGGAGGGGCGTGGCCGCCTCCCCTACCAGCGCCTGTGCCCGCACAGCACCCGCCCCCCTCGGGCCCTCCCTGCGCGTCTGCGGGGCACACGGCACGTCTCGGGCCTCAGTCTCCTACCTGGGTCTTGAGAGGAGGGTGCGTGGGGGGCAGCGGCTGGTCCACGTCCAGGGGATGCGATGGGGGCTTTTCCGGAACGAACTGGTCTGCAAACCGGTTTTCTGTCACGGTCCCTCCTTGCGGTGGTGGCAGCGCTGGCGGCCGGTGGCAAGCGCTGCCTGAGGGAGCGAGGGGCTGGAGCGGTAAATCGAGAGGCCTTCCCACCTAGGGAGAAGGGACCTGTGACTCTCAGTGCCGCTCACACCAGCTCCGCGCACCTGCACCTGCTGAGGGAGGCAGAGTGACCGTCTTCACCGAGGATGGCCACAGCCCGCCCACCCCTCACTGCTGGCGCAACACTGCGGGGACCACCCAGTGAGGGGCACAGGGCGACCCCGGTGTGACCATGAGCACTTGCGACGTGCTGGTGGAGGCCCGAGGGGGGGGCCTGCACCTGGCACTGTCTTTACCCTGTGCCATCACGAGCACTGTGCACGGGCGTGGTGGTCCGTGCTTCGAACAGTTCACCCACCGAGTGTCCACCACTGGCCCTGGAAATGTGGTGGGGAGACTGCAGCGCAGGCCGGAGCTAGTCTGATCACAGCCAGAGTGGCGAGGCGGTGGGCCGTCGGCACTCTCAGCCACGTGGTCTAAGCCGGGCGGTGGGCCACCTGCACTCTCAGCCACGTGGTCTAAGCCAGGCAGTGGGCCACCTGCACTCTCAGCCACGTGGTCTAAGCCGGGCTGTGGGCCGTTGGCACTCTCAGCCACATGGTCTAAGCCAGGCAGTGGGCCACCTGCACTCTCAGCCACGTGGTCTAAGCCGGGCGGTGGGCCGTCGGCACTCTCAGCCACGTGGTCTAAGCCGGGCGGTGGGCCGTCGGCACTCTCAGCCACGTGGTCTAAGCCGGGCGGTGGGCCACCCACACTCTCAGCCACGTGGTCTAAGCCAGGCAGTGGGCCACCTGCACTCTCACCCACGTGGTCTAAGCCAGGCAGTGGGCCACCTGCACTCTCAGCCACGTGGTCTAAGCCGGGCGGTGGGCCGTCGGCACTCTCAGCCATGTGGTCTAAGCCGGGCGGTGGGCCGTCGGCACTCTCAGCCACGTGGTCTAAGCCGGGCGGTGGGCCGTCGGCACTCTCAGCCACGTGGTCTAAGCTGGGCGGTGGGCCACCTGCACTCTCAGCCACGTGGTCTAAGCCGGGCGGTGGGCCACCTGCACTCAGCCACGTGGTCTAAGCCAGGCAGTGGGCCACCTGCACTCTCAGTCACGTGGTCTAAGCCAGGCAGTGGGCCGTTGACACTCTCACCCACGTGGTCTAAGCCAGGCAGTGGGCCGTTGGCACTCTCAGCCACGTGGTCTGTGGCTCAGCCTCGGTCTCTGAATCTGTAACATCAGTGCACCCCTGCCCGTGTGGGGGCAGAGGAGCAGGGCAGTGCCTCTCATGGACTGTGTCCTCAGCCAGCTGAAATGCTGGGGTGACTCTCCTCCAGCTCCCCCAGGGGCATGGGGTCAGGGGGGTGCCTGGGGCTGTCTGTCAGCAACTTGTTCTCACCAAGAAGGAAACACTGGTGAGCAAGACCCCCGCCCTGCTGTCGCACCCCTTTCTGCTCTACAGTGAGTACTGTGAGGGCCAGTGGTGGGCACACTGCTGCCGACATCACCGGGCACAGGTCTGTCCGGCTCTATGGGACAGAATGGTCACGCGGACGGCCTCGCGGGCACCCAGCCCTCCCGGGGCCCGAGCCGTGCCCACCAGCTCGCGGTCCACGAGGCTGTGCAGCTGCTCGAAGGCCCAGGCGCGGTACTGCTCCATCTGCCGCTTCTTGTGCTTGGCCAGGTCGTAGTCCTCCTTCTCCACGGCGCAGCGCTTCTCCACCTCGTAGCGCCCCAGCCGCTCGCCGACCTGCGCACAATGCAGTTTCTGACCCGGTCAGCTCGCCTCCGCGCACAGCTCCGGGCGTGCTCACGACGGGGTGCTGGCGCACACGGGCCCTGTGGGGACGGGCCGAGTGGGGAAGGCCCGGCTACACCTCCTGCAGAGCTCCCGCTGCTGGGGCTGCGGCAGCGTCCGCCCCACGAGTCCGTGGTCATGCCCGACGGGCCGGGTGTTCTCCTGCCTGGCACCTGGGATGATGTCTGAGAGGGCCCACGGGCTTCAGGGACAGGTTTATGACTACTGCCCGGATCGCTGAACCCACACCCACCCTCCAGCCCGTGACCCGCTCACTGGTCGGGCCGCGCGCACCCAACACGGACCAGTGCGGGCGCAGGGCACCCGCTGCCCAGAGGCGCACCTTCTGCAGGTCAGCAAGCGCTTGTCTCAGCTTCTTGGCGTCGTCGTAGCGCTCCTGCCGGGCCGCCTCGCGTTTCCGCTCGTCCAGCTTGCGTATGATCTGCGCGACTTCCGGGTCCTGGTACATGTCGAAGGCCAGGTCATCCAGTGGGGAGATGTAGTCGGACTTCCTAGAGGAGAGGAATGAACATTTCAGGGCCTATTGCACCCGTGGAGGCTGCAAGGTGGTGGGCCCTGTGGGCTGGCCCAGCACATTCAGGAGAATGCCCCACCCCCGCCTGGGGCGTCAGCACGCCCGGCTCCGCCACACAGCTGCACAATGGAGCTGCACCCTCACGCCCTGGCCCGTAGCCAAGCGCACGCCGGGGCAGCTGGGCCTCAGTCCTCGGGCACCCGCAGCTCCTCCCGGTGCAGACCAGACCGTGCCAGGCTCTGCTCCAGGCAAGGGGACGCGCGTGGGAATCGTCTGCAGGCGGCAGAAATCCAGGCCAGCACTGACCAGGCCCCATCGCTGAACCGTGAGCCTGGTGGGCGGGGGCAGCCAGGCATCCAGATTCACACCAGCACCACAGTGACTGATGAACATTCAAGGGGACAGTTGCTTCTACTGAGCTTCTACCTCAGTGTCAGGTACTGTCAGCAACCGTCAAGTCCTGCAGGCGACCAGCAACCCCCAGGAATCCATGACCCCTGGCTGGCCGGCAGCCCTGCTGACTGTCACCTCCAATCTCTGCTCAGTCCCCCTAGCAGGCGACCGCACCCTTCTGGGTCTAACAGGTCACGGAGCCAGTGGAACAGCATGGCAGACGGTCACCGGAGGACAGTTCAGAATCTCCCCATCTGCTCGAGTGACCCTGGGGGCTTGGACTTGGGTATCCTTACATGTGGGTACATGTTAGGTAAAATGCTACATGTCATCAAAAGCACTGGTTGGTAAATCGGTACAATAATGAATTCAGCCCTGGCCGGTCTGGCTCAGCGGTTGGAGCATAGGCCTGTGGACCAGAGAGTCCGGGGTTTGGTTCCCGCTAGGGGCATGTACCAAAAAAAAAAAAAAATGAATTCAAACAGGACATGGGAGGATGTCACCGTCTGAATGACTAAGCACCCCCACCGAGTTCGTAGCTCTGAACCACGTCAGTGTGTCCCAGCGAAGACTAGACAGTGACATGTTCTACTGTGCCTACAAGATCACTCAATTACTTCACCAAAATACAGATTATACTTGTAAGTCTGTTGCTCTGCCTTGAAGACTAGAGAGAAAACAAAGACTTCATCTCATTACAAAAATCCTACAAAGAAAACATGTCACGTGACACGTGAGCAGGCCTCCGGGCCACCAGAGTGACACAGGCAGGTTCTCCACTTCCTGCAGACCGTCCCCTCACCGCAAGCAAGGGGTCGCACGTCCAGTGGTACGTGGCCCCAGTGCCCACGCGACCTTTCCACAGGCCTGCTTTGCCTTCTGAAAACCCTGCCGTGAGGCGGGACCGGCAATGTGCAGGCTGACGTCTCTTCTGGCTGCCCGGCAAAGAACCGATGTAGAGACACCAAAACGATGCCAGGAACTTCATGGGAGGTGCCAAAGCCGAAGGGTGAGCTTGGCTGTCACTGTCCTCCAACTGGGTCCCTGCGGCAGGACGCTGCCACCCCGGGAGGACGCGGCCAGGAAGGGAGGCCCTCACTTCAGGGCTCTCCCAGTGTTCCCGGTCCCCCCGAGAGGATGGTCTCCTCGGGGCTCAGCAGGTGTGGGAGGGTCTGGGTAGACGTGGGGCCTGTGTGGGTGAGTGAGCAGCTTCTCATCTATTTCTGAGGACGGGGCCTCTGCCCACACGCAGGGTGAAGCCAGGGCTCCCCGTATCTGTGCGCACAGAGGTGGTGGGCTGGAGCACTAGTCCCTGTGTCACAGCTCCACTGTGAGGGGAGGCGGGGCTACACCAGGAGCCTTGCAGAGCCAGAGCCCCTGCTAACACGGTGCCCTCCTTTCCTGGCCGGAAGCTGCTGTCAGAGGGGCTGGGCGGTCTCAAGCTCCTTTCTGTGGACCGGCCCACCGCAGGGGCTCCTGGCTGTAGTACACGGTGGGCAGGTGCCGAGGTGCTGACGGTGCCCGGGAGCAGAGGGAGGGAAGGGACGTGCCGCCTGGGCTCCTCAGCTGCCCTCACTCTGACCTTCTGAGAGTCCTACGGTAAAGCAGGCAGCAGAACACACCGGTACCACGGCTGCGCGTGTGGAGACTGCGGAGGGGAGCCGCAGGACCGCGACCCTACCTCCGACTTGACGTGCCGTCCTCACTGCCTTAAGTCAGGTTCCGGGGCGGACCCGCGGGACGTCTCTAGTGAGCGTCATTTGGGTCGGTGAACACCTGACATTTTCACCTGTGACCCTGCCTGTGCCAGTGAAACACAGCCGACAGCTGGCAGGCCTTCCTCTGAGCGCTCGAGACTTCCCAGCACTGAACGTGAGAAGACGTCTAGACAAGCCGCGACCCTAACTGTGACGCGCGCTCAGACAGTCCCCGGGGAGGCTGGGACAGCTCCCGGCTCGTCCCCAGGCCGAGACAGGTGCCCTTACCCACTGCAGCTTCCTTCCAGAGCCGGGTCCTCTAGGCTGTGCCCCAGGTAGTGATCGATCAGCTTCTCTCTGGAGGCCTGTGGGGCGGGAACTCTGCTCAGTGTCTCAGGAGAAAGGGGAGCAGCACCGACCCTGGCTAAGGGTGAGCCGACGCCAAGGTGTCCGCGAGCATCAGCGAGCCCAGTCTCCGGGAGGGACAGCTACGATTCTTGGGTCAAAGACACTTTAAGTTACCCACCAGTCGCCCTGGCCGGTTTGGCTCAGCATTAGAGCGTCGGCCCGTGGCCTGGAGAGTCCTGGGTTTGGTTCCCGGTAAGGGCACGTACCTCGGTTGTAATTTGTTCCCACCCCAGTTGGGGTCGTGTGGGTGGCAGCCACTCGGTGTGTCTCTCTCACATCGATGTTTCTCTCCCTCTCCCCCACCCCCACTCTATCTGAAGATACATGCAAAAATGTCCTCCAGTGAGGACCAAAAAAAAAAAAAAAAATTACCCACCAGTCAATTTTACACAGGTTTTAAGATGACACCGTTTGTGACAAAAATAAACACTTCCCTCCTATTAGAAATACATTCTCTTCTTCAGGAATGAAACGTCCCAAACTTACAATGTTGCTCTCATCACCCAAGTCCGCAGGGTCTCCGATGATGTTGATCGCAACCAGGGCGACCTGAGAGAGTTGAGCCAACAGAGATTAAGTGCAGAAGGTTTGTGGTAACCGACCCCTTCGGGACGATCTGTCATCCAATGAGATCAGGTTCCCCGAAGCACGCGGATTGCGAAAGGTGGTAAGGTGCAGAGTTACTAGTAACGGCTGTTGTAAGTTGTGTAAGTTAATATTCTAGTGTTAAACCTAGTGGCTAGTTTAACGTTTAAAGGATGTGAAAACAGTAACAGCTAAGAACCTTTGTTTAACACAGTCTCTAGCAGGACCAATGGCTCAAGGTTAGGTGTGGGCCACACAGCCTGACCTTGGGACATTGGACGATGAGACAGAACTGGGGTTCCCTCAGCTCGCTCAGTCAGATTCCACCTGAGGGGGAGGAGCCCCTCCCTCCCCGACTCCTGGAGAATCGCTGTAGCTGAACAGGAGCCCACCCGGCTGTCAAGGGTGAAAACGCGGGGGGAGGGGTGTGGAGGAAGGACAAGGTGAGGGGTCGTCCTCCAGCTCCAGGGGGCCTGCTGTGGGACCCGCCGACAGCTGTCTGTCTTGGGGCGCCTCCTGCATCACCCCTCCAGGAGAGCGTAACGTTCCTCCATAAAGATACCGCCTGACAGAGGTTTGGAAAAGGCCTCTGGGAAAAGACACAGGACACGGGACCTGTGAGGAGCCAGCTGCTGTCATGGGACGGCCGCGTCTCACCTGATTATAGATGTTGTACTTGTTGGCGTGGTTTTGGTGGAAAATCAGCTTCAGGAACTGCCCCACCGCGTCCACGTAGACCGACTTCAGCTCCCGGGCCCTGCAGCCCGTCTTCTCGTTGTCGCAGAGGGAGACGTAGCTGCGGGCACAGGAAGTGTGGGCATAGCACAGCCCTCCCCGCGCAGGCGTCAGGTCTGTTCTCTTCCAGTTTACCTACCACTTTTCTTACCCCTCACCCAAGCACATTGTTGCATTTATCTTCAGATAGAGCGGGAGGGAGAGGGGGGAAGAGAGAGACACACCGACTGAGAGAGACACGAGTGGTTACCACCCACAGGACCCCAACCGGGGCCGGGGACAAACTGCACTCGAGTACGTGCCCTTGGCGGGACCTGAAGCTCTGGTCCGCGGGCCGACACTCCCACCGCTGAGCCAAACCGGCCAGGGCCAGCGCGACAGGCTTCGCTGGGCGAGGGAGGAAGAGCCCCAGGAAGAAACCTGGCTGTGAATCCTAACGTGTCCTCAAGGCAAGTGCTGCCCCGGTAAGAAGACAGAGGGCAAAGATGACAGCCCGCCAGCGAGGGGGTGAGGAGCCACTCCAGCTCATCCAGACACAAGTGTGGGCAGGGACCCAGAGGAGGGGCTCAGGACAGTGTGGGAGGGGACCCGGAGGAGGGGCTCAGGACAGTGTGGGGAGGGGACCCGGAGGAGGGGCTCAGGACAGTGTGGGCGGGGACCCGGAGGAGGGGCTCAGGACAGTGTGGGGAGGGGACCCGGAGGAGGGGCTCAGGACAGTGTGGGGCGGGGACCCGGAGGAGGGGCTCAGGACAGTGTGGGGACTTTCAGGGAGCAGTTGCTGCCAATTGCCCTTACTCACACTTTCTTTTTTGTTTTTAATCTTTTTTCCATGGATATTTTATTTTTTAGAGAGAGTTGGAAGGAGGGAGGTAGAGAGAGAGGAACACATTAATGTCAAGAAAGACACATCGATTGGTTGGGTCCCGCAAAGCCCTGGTCGCCCGGGAAACCTGCAACCCAGGCAGGTGCCCTTGACCGGAACTGAACCCATGACGGTCTGGTCTGTGGGCCGACGCTCTAACCGCTGAGCAACCGGCCAGGGCTCCCTTCCTTACACTTCCCGCCACTTCCTTACCCGAGCCTGCGGAACCGCTCCGCCTGCGGCGGCGCGAAGGGCTCGGGCAGCCGCTCGCTGACGTAGAACTCGACCTTGCTGGGGATCATGTACTGGTGAGCCAGCAGCTGCAGCTTCTTCATGCGGCAGCGCTCCGCCGTCTGGAGGACGATCTCCTGTGGGAACCGGCAGAACCTGGAAGGAAGATGGTTTCGGCTTTGGGCAGCTTCTAGCCTCCGGGAAGCGACAGGGCACGTGATCCGAGTGAGGTGCACAGGCCGCAGCAGGGGCCTGGACGTGGCCATGGCCACGGCCACAAAGCACAGTGCCCGAGACCGTGGGCAGACACCACGGGAGCCGAGCTGGCCAGCACTGGGTTCACACCGCAGCGGGCACTGTGGGCATCTGGAGCAGGGGACACACCGCAGGACGGAACAGTTGGGCGAGGCCCTGCCACTGCCTGACACTGTGCTGGAGTTCCTGCCCACGGGCCATACTAGCCCTGTCCCTCACACCCCACCCTCTCTCCCAGCAGCCTCTCTTCACCACCCGAGCAATCAGATGGGCTTCTGTCCAATTCTCCCGGCCACCGGTGCCCTGCTCCCGACTCGCCCAGCTGGGCCGCAGCAGAGCAGGGCCCCAGGTCGGACCAGCTGGGCCGCAGCAGAGCAGGGCCCCGGGTCGGACCAGCTGGGCCGCAGCAGGGCGGGGCCCCGGGTCGGACCAGCTGGGCCGCAGCAGAGCGGGGCCCCGGGTCGGACCAGCTGGGCCGCAGCAGAGCGGGGCCCCGGGTCGGACCAGCTGGGCCGCAGCAGAGCGGGGCCCGGTCGGACAGCTGGGCCGCAGCAGAGCGGGCCCCGGTCGGACCAGCTGGGCCGCAGCAGAGCGGGGCCCCGGGTCGGACCAGCTGGGCCGCAGCAGAGCGGGGCCCCGGTCGGACCAGCTGGGCCGCAGCAGAGCGGGGCCCCGGTCGGACCAGCTGGGCCGCAGCAGAGCGGGGCCCCCGGGTCGGACCAGCTGGGCCGCAGCAGAGCGGGGCCCCGGTCGGACCAGCTGGGCCGCAGCAGAGCGGGGCCCCGGTCGGACCGCTGGGCCGCAGCAGAGCGGGGCCCCGGGTCGGACCAGCTGGGCCGCAGCAGAGCGGGGCCCCGGGTCGGACCAGCTGGGCCGCAGCAGAGCGGGGCCCCGGGTCGGACCAGCTGGGCCGCAGCAGAGCGGGGCCCCGGGTCGGACCAGCTGGGCCGCAGCAGAGCGGGGCCCCGGGTCGGACCAGCTGGGCCGCAGCAGAGCGGGGCCCCGGGTCGGACCAGCTGGCCTCTCTCCCCCACAGCGTTCCCGTCAGGGCACAGACACACTCTAGAAACCCCCCGTTTTAAAACACCTTCAGCCAACGTCACGCAGGAGTGGTGTCAGTCACCCTGACAGCTCCTCATGCCCATGTCCTGCAGGGTGGCTTCCGCCCCACTGGCACAGGGCACTCCTGTGAAGGCCCAGTGACCTCCACAATGCCACGTGCGACCTTGCTCAGCCCACACGAGCCGCCTCCTGGCCTTCTACCTCAGGGTCCCTCCCTGTGAGATCGACTATGCCCTGAGCTGGGTTCCAGTCTCCCTCTTTCCATGATCACTATGGGGGGTCCCGTCAGCCCATGGCTGTAAACCCTCCTGCTCATCAAGGAACCGCAACTGAACGTCACCTGAGCCCTCCTGCGGCCCGTGGGCGGCCTGCCATTCCCCATCAGACGTCTGAAAGGCCTGTGACCATGACCCTCGTCCTGTCCCAGCTCCCCCCCTCAGCGGTGGCACCGCCACACAGTGGTCCAACCGATCTTTAAGCCTCTGACAGGATGCGTGGGCCCCTCCCCAAGCCCCCCGCCCCAGGCACCAAGCTCCTGCATCTCACTGGGCTGCACACCAGGCTGCGGGGAGCTTCCCCTTGGTGGACAGAGGAGGGAGGGACAGAAAGGAGTCTCGGGCTGACCGGACGGAATCAGGGCTCCCTTCCCAGTCCTGGACGGCACAGACCTGCAGCTGCTGCGTCTCGCCTGCACCCTCACATCTGCGACGAAGTGTAACGCACACACTAGGCCCAAAGAGGGATGAACAGTAATGGGCAATAAAACAGAACTATTCCAACAGTCCGCTTAACAAAGTCACATCAGTGTGGCCACTGTCTCTGGGTCCCTGCCGAGGTCCCCGCAGAGGCTCGGAGCTTTCTGGGAGACGCTGCTGCCCATCAGAACTTGTCTGCCTGCCACCCACAGGTCTACGCCTTCCCTCCAGCTGAGCCCTGGGCCGGAACCCCCGCGGGCCGAGGCGAGACAGCGACCGAGCACGGACTCCTCTTCCTTCTTCACAATTTCACGGGTGGGAGATTTGTTCTTACCGCGGAGCTCAGCAACCTCAGCCGAGGATGTTTTCTTTCCTTATGAAGCCGAGAACTTTCTCCCTTCACTTACAGACACCGGCACGACCTGCATCTGCACCCCTGTGCTCGGGTCCTCGCTGAGGGAAGTCAGGGAGCCAGCACCGCCTGCATCTGCACCCCTGCGCTCGGGCCCTCGCTGAGGGAAGTCTGGGAACCGGCACCGCCTGCATCTGCACCCCTGCGCTCGGGTCCTCGCTGAGGGAAGTCAGGGAGCCGGCACCGCCTGCATCTGCACCCCTGCGCTCGGGCCCTCGCTGAGGGAAGTCAGGGACCCGGCACCGCCTGCATCTGCACCCCTGCGCTCGGGCCCTCACTGAGGGAAGTCAGGGAGCCTTGAACACAAGCCCGAGACACTGAGATCTGATCCCCGAGGGGCCGCTAAGGGACTGACGGGTGGGGAGCATCGGTAGCGTGGGGACGCTGGACAGAGGGATGATGCACGTCCCGCTGGACAGCTCAAGATTTCATCACACGACTCAGAGAGCAAGCAATTTAAAATGTATGAACTGTTCATTTCCGAAACTGTCCGTTAGAAATTTCCATTCCATGGTGGAACCGTGAGCAACCAAAACTCTGGACGGGGGGACGACTGTCTGTTGAACTGAGGGACGTAAAAGGGTGAACGGGGAGGGTGAGACAAGAAGTGGGTTTGGTGACCATGGGGTGAAGCGGACGGACTTCTGGGGTATCTCGCCTGGCACTTCCTGACTCTGAGCTTCCACGAAGCGAAGGTACGAGGGTGCACGTGGGGAGCAGGGCAGCTAGAAAACCGGGACCCCCGCAGCCTGTGACAGTCGGGCGCTGCCGCCGTGAAGGACGTCCCTGTGCTGAAGCGCAGTTGGTGGTGAGATCGCTCTAGACAGATGTAAGGATCCGTAGCAGAGAAAATTCCATTATTACAAAGCCCTCCGACACTGCTTACGGACAAAACTTTCAAGTTGTATAATTTAAAAATCCTTAAAAAAAAAGGGTCTATGATTAGCGACTCCAATGTGGGTTAGAGTTTATAGATGGATCAGAAATATCTTCCAGGCTGACCGCAAACTGCAGCAGCCAGAAAAGCTGGTCACCTCTACCTCCTCGGGACAACCGGCAGCTCTCGCTTTCTTTCTGAGCACAACTCAGCGATGAGGCTTCATGCCCAGAGGCTCTCGCCGTGGGTGTCAGCTTCCTGCTGTCTCGGAGAAGCACCTGGCCCTCTGGAGAGCTGCCTCCTCACGGTCCTGGGCGGGAGACGGACACGGGAGGAGCTCCCTGTGCCCAGGCAGGACTGGACCCCCACCCGAGCCGTGGGAGTGGCGTGGTGGCGGCGGGCACGTGGCTCCTTGCCACGGCGCGGTCTGAGTGCTCACTGCCCTGAAAGAAATGTCCTGCCACGTCCGTGCGCAGAAGAACCGTATCAGTTCTTTTTGTACACAGTACCAAAAAGTACCTTGTCCATGTGTGTAAGTACCTTTAACCCACACGTGTGTAAGTACCTTTAACCCACACGAACACTAAGGAAGGAGCATGAGGGTCTCTGTGGAAAGAAAGTGTCGGGTGGCACTGTGGCCCCAGCCCAGGCCCTGGCCCAGGGAGAGGCAGGACTGTGGGACGGGAGTGTGGTGACCCTCAGCCACCAAGTGTGCCTCCCGCCCCGCAGCGGCTGCGGCCAGCTCAGTCCGTGATGCTCACTTCCTGTGGATAAAGCCCTTGCTCCCCAGCTTCGGCCTCACGGTCACTAAAGGCCTGTTTGTCCCCATCGGCTTTACTCTTCCGTTTCACTCCAATTCTTCCAGAACTCGATAAGGGAACTGAGTCTGGTTTGTTGGCTTCCCTCAAAAACCGCCAAAAAAAGAAATACACTTTCATTTTATTCATCTTTCTATCCTCACCCGAGGACATTTTTTTGTTTTTTGTTCAGATAGAGTGAGAGGGAGAGAGAGGAAGAGAGAGAGAGAGAAACATTGACGTGAAAGGGACACATCGAATGGTCACCACCCACACGACCCAAGCAGGGCCGGGGACAAACTGCAACTAAGGTATGTGCCCTTAGCGGAAACCGAACCCGGGTCTCTCTGGACCGCAGGCCAACGCTCTAACTGCTGAGCCAAATTGGCCAGGGCTACATTTTCATTTTAAATGAAACCTACATTCAACTTGTCAGCAGTGAAACTGAACAGAAGCGAGTCTCAGGTGTGTGGTGGAGTTTAGACTGCGACGCACATCACACGTGTGTGAGCAGGGAGTGAACAGTCCCCTCCCCTCAGACTGGGACTAGCTGTGCAGAGCAAGGGACACTGAGGCAGCGAGGGACCGGTGGGACAGCGGCATGCGGGCCTGACCAGACACTCAGGCCACTGAACAATGACGGCGACTCTGTCGAGCAACAAAGACCTCGCAGGAAAAGACTCACGTTCAGAAAAACAAACTAGCACCCATTCCTCGTGCAGTGAGCACGTCCACACCGTGCGCAGACACCCAGGGCACACCTGGGAGACTTCCTCATTAACGCCTGGTGGCCCGTAAAAGTGATCAGGTGCAAAACCTACCCCCGGGCGCAGCTGTGGACGAAAGAAACCTGCATACGGAGGCCTTGCTCAGAACAGACCAGGCCTGAGCACACTTCAATACCTGGGGTCGGGGTAGGGGGTCACTGTCTTCCTTCCCTTCTTTTGTATTTGCATATTTCTGCTATTTTTTTTGTCCTCACCCGAGGACATTTTTCCATTTTTTGTTCAGATAGAGTGGGGGGGGGGGAAGAGAAACATCGATGTGAAAGGGACACATTGAGTGGTTGCCACCCGCACGACCCAATCAGGGCCGGGGGCAAACAGCAACCGAGGTACGTGCCCTTAGCGGGAACCGAACCCGGGTCTCTCTGGACCGCAGGCCTACACTCTAACCGCTGAGCCAAACCAGCCAGGGCTGTATTTGCATATTTCTTAAGTGAACATGGGTTAATGTTACGAGGGAAGAGGGTGTAATACATTTTCTTTAAAAACAAGTAGAAGGAAGAAAACGCATCAGGTAACCAGACAGGTGAGGCTGCAGCTGCGGCTGCCAACCCTGCGGTTCCGGCGTCTGAGTGACAACAAAATGAGAATGAAAGGAGCCCGCCTGCCCTGCTAGCCTGAGGTCCCCGTGCAGCCCACCTTGGTGACCTCCACCCGCTGACAGTCGGTGCGTGGATCATTAGTTCCCGGGCGCTGAAGCCGTCTTCGTGCCCAGACGAGCTGACGACGACGAATCCGATCTTGTGGGGCATCCTGTGCACTGGGGCTGTTGATGAGAGCAGGAAGCACTTGAAAATGAAGGAACTCAGTAACGGATTGTAACAGTGCTATGCAGTGAAACTGCTAGTTTAGGCCTTGCGTGTGCACAAAGTAACTCACAATGTATCCGACATTTTCCCGTTACTTTGAAAGGATCTGTGTTTTTGTTAAGCACTTTTTATAGGAGCCTCTAATTCTACTTAAGGTATCATTTAAGTTATTTGCACTTTTTCTAAATGTATGTCCAAAAAGTTTGACCAATGTTGTGGGTTGAACTGGGTCCCCCCAAAACATGTTGGCGCCCTCCTATGAACTGTGCTCTTATTTAGAAATAGGGCATTTGTAGATGTAATGAAAATTAAAATAAAGTCATACTGGAGTGGGGTGACTCCACTCTGCGATGACAGATGTCCTTATAAGAGGCAGACGGCAGACACACCGAAGGCCCTGGGACACAGGGAGGCCCCTGGAGCACTGTCTACCAGCCCAGGAGCACCAAGGGCTGCTGGGAGCACCAAGGGCTGCTGGGAGCACCAAGGGCTGCTGGGAGCACCAAGGGCTGCCGGGAGGCACCGGAAGCTGCAGGAGGCAGGGAAGCCTCTCCCGAGCCTTTGGAGATAGCAGGGACCTGCCAATACCTTGCTTCCGGACTCCTAGTCCCCAGAATAAACTTTTGTCAACCAGTCTGTGGTGCTTGGTTATGGCAAAAACAAAGTTTTTGGATAAGATACAAAGTTTTTTACATTCATTAAAATACTACCAGTATGTCAGTAAGGCACACAGAAATGAGGGAAGGGGACTTTTCAATCAACAGCATGGTAACCACTGACTGAAAACGCAGGACCAGAGACAGCAGAGCAGAGCTACGGACAGAACATCACGCGTAGGGACAGGCACGCGGCGCGGCGGGCAGCCGAGTCCCGCAGACAGTTACGTGCAGGAGGGCTGATGCTGTTTTCACGTCACGCCTTTTTTTTTCTTTTCTTTTTTTATCCTCACCCGAGGACGTTTTTGCATTCATCTTCAGACAGAGTGGGAGGGAGAGACAGAGGAAGAGAGAGAGAAACATCGATGGGAGAGAGACATGCTGACTGGCCGCCACCCACATGATGCCAACCGAGTCCGGGGACAAACTGCAACCGAGGTCCGTGCCCTTGGCAGAAACCGAACCCAGGACTCTCTGGTCCGCGGGCCAATGCGCTAACCGCTGAGCCAACCGGCCAGGGCACATCATGTCTTTTTAACCAACTGGACTTTGGTCGCAGTCACGCACCATAGTTTTAAGAGGGGGTGTGCGGTGTCTCCTTCTGCCTGTCGGCGTCTGTCCTGTCCTGGTCTGAAAACAGCACTTCAGTCACCATTTCCCTCAGTGACCTGCCCCCCCGCCTGGATCTGTGGGGCCCTGCACTCCTCAGCCCGCCACAGCGGCCCGTTTCCCTCCGTGACCTGTCCCCCCGCCTGGATCTGTGGGGCCCTGCACTCCTTAGCCCCCTGCCCACAGTGGCCCGTCTCCCTCAGTGACCTGCCCCCCCGCCTGGATCTGTGGGCCCTGCACTCCTCAGCCCGCCCACAGCGGCCCGTTTCCTGGACTTGGCCGGTCTGTGAGTCCCACACCCCTCCGTGGTAACAGGGCCCAAACTGATCAGTGCCACTCAACCCCAGGACTTTGCTGGGGCTACTGGGAAAGAAAGGCTTCCTTCCCGCCATGACGGGCTGCAGGACAGCATCTGTGGGAGCTGCTGGGGGCCGGCAGCGGGAAGGTCCTGCCAGAGCGCGGCTAACATGGGCAGCATGCTGAGCCAGGCCGTCTTTCAGGCCTCGGGGCCAGCTGCACTTACAGCCCAAACCGCTCATGGCCTCCTGGTTACGTTCCAGCTACTAAGCCCATCAAATCCCTCTCCAGTGAGCAAGGCTGAGTGAGGCTTAAGTGTCTGTAACCAAGACAGTCCTCGTTAGAGCAGAGGATCAGGAATTCTCTAGAAAGTCCTCTGGGGCCGGACATACTGCTAATGGACATTATCCCAGGAGGTAACACAGAAATGAATCCCCGTGAAACACGCCTAGTTAACATGCTCGGTGCATGGTTCTGGCCTTCCCTTGCTTGCCCTGAGACCCTGAAGAGGCCCCGGCAATGGATTAATTACTGCCTGGCACCTGCTCGTGTTTCTTGGGGTGTGTGAAGAAAGCACTAAACGCAGAGAGAGATGTCATTATTAAAGACCCCAGCTATTTCTCACGCAAAGCTCCCTGTGTGATGTCACAACACAGAGGGAAGCGAAGCTAACCCGGAAAGTAATGAAAAGCAGCCACACAATGGACACGTGCAGTTTAACCTGCCACGTGCTGCAGAACCCACCTGTTTCCAGGAATGGACCTGTTCCTCGTACAGCCCGTAGCTCCTCCCACGGGCTCAGGCTGTCAGCGGGCCTTACTTTCCCCTTGACCTCAGCACCCCCACCTACTCTCCCTCCATTTCTGCATCTCCCCCGCCCCACTCACTGGGGGCCCACTCCTGGGTCTTGCTTTTGGAAAGGTGGTTGAAAACATCCCCTCTTCTCGGTCGCAGTCTTTTCTAGACAACAGCCAGGTCTCCCTACCTGGAGCACTGCCCCGCCCTCTCCTACGCTCCCCCTGGATGAACCCTCAAGCCCAGCGAAGGTCATTACCAACTATGTCCTAACTCAGGAACCCTTCATGGGCTGCAGGGCCAAGTCGTGTCCTAACCGAAGCTGCAGTTCCAGCCCTCACTTTCTGTCACAAATTCTCAAATCCAGCCAAACTTACTAAAGATCAAAGTTACTTCCCTCTGCTCTGAATTCTCCAAGTCCTTCCATCGTCTGTAAGAGCAGGACCTGCGCCTGGCCGGTGTGGCTCAGTGTATGGAGCCTCGTCCCATGGACCGAGAGGTCCCGGTTTGATTCCCAGTCAGCTCACATGCCAAGGGTTGTGGGCTCAATCCCCGGTAGGGGGCGTGCAGGAGGCAGCTGGTGATGTTCCTCTCGCATATCAAGGGATGTTTCTCCCTCTCCTTTCCTCTTTCTCTCAAAACACCAATAAAAAACATTAAAAAAAAAAAAAAAAAAAAGAGCAGGACCTGTTACTTCCTCCCCACCTTGAACACAGCATATCTTTTCATCTTCTCAGCTGGATGTGATTGGCGAGCACAAATCTGCACAGATTTGAAATCCTACTCGTGTTGGCCAACCTGTGTGTAGACTTACTCCCTCACCCAGCACTTGTGACTGCTGTGGGCGTGGCCTCGAGAGCACTGTGTGCCAGGGGCTGTCCTTAGCACCGGACACGTGTCCATACCTTCATAACAACGGACCAGGTTCAGTGCCCACCCCAACTTCAGAGACAAGGAAACTGAGGCACAGTGAGGCCCATGCCCAGGGTCATCCAGCTGGTAAGCCAAGCAGGCAGCGTGTGTTCCTAGCTGCTAGGTGATCATGTTCCACTATCCTCCACTACGGCAGAAGACTTGAAAACAAGACCTTTAAGCCCATGTGGAGGGTGCGCCCACTACCACCTTGCCTTGAAAAACCCAAAACCACGCACCGGCCTTGGGAACCGGGTGGGAGGAACGCCTGGACACAGCACCGACAGTCACAATTTGGGTAACTGAAAAGCTCCGTTTTGGCCACCCCCTTCCAAAGCCCTTCTGCTTTGTCCCTAGGTCGTGTAAACCTTCAAGAGTTACATGAGATATTGGGGAGTCACTAAAGGATGCTACCAATAGGCTCTATGAAAACCACTACTACGTTTCGAGGAGAACCGCAGAGTGCTCAGTTATCAGCCCGTGGGACCCCGACTGCCCTGGTGTGGGACCCTGATCTCCAGCCAGCGCCAGACTGCACATGTCCCCAAGGCTCCCTCACTACACACGCTAGTTAGTGTCCCCAGAAAAAGAGTGACTCGGGTTCCTTCCCTGAAGTCTGCTTTTCAATGGGGACCGGGAGTACTGACGTTTGTAAGTTAAATGGAAACATTGTAGCAACTTCCGAACGTTCTGCTACACGGCCCGGAGGGAAAACTCGCTTCCACTTTTCCCTTCGCGCAAACGTTCCACAGGTAAGTGACTTCTGCTCAGGGGATCGGAAGGGTTGAGAGTACGTGACATCGAGGACACACAACACCACTAAGCAGCGGGGTGCGAACGGAACCCGCGCGGGGCAGAGCCCATCCTGACGCCCGGCAGCAGGTCCCGCAGTTCTGGGTCACCGTCCGCCGTGCGTCCAGCACCGACAGGTCGGGACACCCGAGCGCAGTTAGATCCAGGGAACCGAGCGCGGCGGCGCCACCGCGGGCCCCGCGCCAGCGGCCGCCCCTCCAGCAGGGGGCGCCCCGCACCCGGCTCAGCCCGCCGCCCCGCGGCCCAGTGCGCGCCCGGCCCCGGTACCCGTCGGGAAGGAAAGCCTCCGGACCTCGGCGTCCGCACGACCCCCAGGGCCCTCCGCCCACGCCGGCAGCGCCGCGCCTTCGCTCAGGTAGTGCCGCCTCCGCCGCGCCGGGCCCGCCCGCACCCCCGAGTCGCAGTAGCGGTGGCCGCCGAGGAGCAGCCCCGGCCGCCTGTGCCTAGCGCCGGGGCCGCGGCCGCCGCTCTCATGACAACCAGAGCCGGCCCGGCCCGGCCCGGCCTCCGCGCCTGCGCGACCCCGCCCCGCTGCGCCGCGGCTGCGCACAAGACGGGACAGCGTCTCCGCTTTCCCTGGCCTTCTGGGTAACGGAGTGTCCGGGAAATGGCGCATGCGCACAAGGCGGGACTGCACCTTTTTTCCCCCGGCCTTCTGGGTAGTGTAGTTTCCGGGGTGGGGGGCGGTGCGTGGCCTTCTTCCCCTCCGCGGAGGCCATTGGGAGGCGACCTGGCCGAGCACGCGCCAGAGCAGCGGCCAAGCAGGTGCTGCCCGCGGGCCGGAGGCCCTGAGCATGTCTGTGTCCCGGAAGCCCAAGACGTTCAAGCTGCGGGCCTTGCACAGCCAGCAGAAGTTTGGGGTAGCGGGGAGGAGCTGCCAGGAGGTCCTGCGGAAGGGGTGCCTGCACTTCCAGGTGCGGCGGGGCCGGGGCCGGGGGTCAGCTGCCTGCACTTCCAGGTGCGGCGGGGCCGGGGCCGGGGGTCAGCTGCCTGCACTTCCAGGTGCGGCGGGGCCGGGGCCGGGGGTCAGGTGCCTGCACTTCCAGGTGCGGCGGGGCCGGGGCCGGGGCCGGGGCCGGGGGTCAGGTGCCTCCACTTCCAGGTGCGGCGGGGCCGGAGCCGGGGTCGAGGGTCAGGTGCCTGCGCTTCCAGGTGCGGCGGGGCCGGGGTCGGGGGTCAGGTGCCTGCACTTCCAGGTGCGGCGGGGCCGGGGCCGGGGCCGGGGCCGGGGGTCAGCTGCCTGCACTTCCAGGTGCGGCGGGGCCGGGGTCGGGGGTCAGGTGCCTGCACTTCCAGGCGCGGCGGGGCCGGGGCCGGGGGTCAGGTGCCTCCACTTCCAGGTGCGGCAGGGCCGGAGCCGGGGTCGGGGGTCAGGTGCCTGCGCTTCCAGGTGCGGCGGGGCCGGGGCGGGGGTCAGGTGCCTCCACTTCCAGGTGCGGCGGGGCCGGGGTCGGGGATCAGGTGCCTCCACTTCCAGGTGCGGTGTGGCCTGGGCGGGGATCAGGTCCTGGGGGCCTCCGCCTGCAGGTCCTGGAGGACCTGCCTCTCACCATCAGCACTGGCAGAGTCCTGACAGCTGCCGCGTGAGGCGGGGACTGTCCACACCCGTCCCGAGATGGAGAACCTGAGCAGGTCCTCGGTGGACGCCGGGGCGGTACTGTCTGGACCCCCACCTGGGCTGTCTGTGGTCCTTGTCAGAACCCTGTGAATCGGATGCAAACGCCTTCGTTTCAGGGGCATGAGGCGATTCGCGGGGCCTCGGAGGACTCACCGGGTGCTGCAGAGTGGGTGGGATTTGGGTCCTCGGACCTCGGGGTGCCTGGTGCAGTCTCCACAGAGAGCTAGAGAAGCCTCTGCCAGGTGCTCAGGTGCTGACCCCTGGGGAGAAATTTGGGAGGATCAGAGGTGTTGCTCTCCAGGGTGTGTGTGGTGGGGAGAGGGTGGAGGGACTTCAGGGGAAACCATTTCCTCACCGCTTGTTTCTTGAGACCCAGTGTCAGAAACTTCTTTCTCCAGCCCCCCCGCCCATGCAGAGCATGGGGCTGTGGAGGGCGTGGGGACACCACTGTCCCTCTGCTGACCCTGCTCTGGCTTGAGGTTCAGGCCCTGTTTCCAGTACACATCTGCTAACTCACTGTGAGTTAGCACACAGCCAGTGGCCCCTCTGGGGCTCAGTTTCCGCTGTGTACAGTGGAGGGGTTGGGCTCCGAGGCCCCTGGAGGCTCTGCGGCATGAACGCTGCGGTTCGTCGGGCTGTTACTCTTACTCCTGGATTTGTTTCTGGGGCTGGGCCTAGACCAGCTCTGGGATGTGTACATGTGCAGGGACAGGTGGGACCGGAGTCGCTCTAAAAATTTGGTCTTGTGTGCTGGCCACGCTTCTGTATGGAGGCCCTGCATCGTTTTCAGTGAGATGTTCTCTTAAATTGATGGGGCATGCCAAGCTGGTGGGTCCTGGCACCTGTCAGTCAGTGTGCCCTCATCCATGGGGTGCATGTACTGGCTCAGTGGCAGCAGCCATGCGTCCTTTTTGGAAACGGGTTTGGATTTTAAGTGCCCCCGAGGAGCAGGTGGAAAGGGTCTGTGTCATGCACAGTATACCACCGCGTACACCTTTACGCGCAGGCATACCACCGCGTATGCCTTTACGCGCCTCTCTGTGTTGTAGGACGACCTGCAGCGGGTGCCGGCATTCCGACAGGCTCATTCTCAGACTCACGCGCTTGTCTCAGGTGTCCGCTCCGCTGTAGTGTGGACGGCACGTCGAGCGTGGTTCTTTCACATGTTCATTCTTTTTTTTTTTTTTTTAATCCTCACCCGAGGACATTTTTCCATTTTTTGTTCAGATAGAGCGGGAGGGAGAGAGAGGAAGAGAGAGAGAGAGAGAGAAACATCGATGTGAAGGGACGCATCGAGGGGCTGCCACCCGCACAACCGACCAGGGCCGGGGACAAACTGCAACCGAGGTACGCGCCCCTAGCGGGAACCGAACCCGGGTCTCTCAGGACCGCAGGCCGACGCTCCAACCGCTGAGCCAAACCGGCCAGGGCCACATGTTCATTCTTGTTCTTTGTGAGGGCTGCAGGGGCCAGACCTCCTGCTACTCCTCTGAGGTGGGCCCGCCTGAGGCCCGACAAGTAAGCGTCCTGCCCTCTGTCCCCCCTCCCAGGTGCCCGTGCCCGGCTCCCGCCTGTGCCTCTATGAAGACGGCACGGAGCTGGCTGGAGATTACTTCTGGAGTGTCCCCGACAACTCGGAGCTGGTGCTGCTCACCACCGGCCAGACCTGGCAGGGCTGTAAGTGGCGGGGCCCTTGGAGAGTGACGAGGAGGCGGGCGGGGCCCTGGGGCTGCTGAGGGAAAGGAGCCGGTGCATGTTCCTCCTGGGGGGACACTCAGGTCGTCCGTGAGCCCCTGGAAAGAGGCTCGGTGTCATCAGCCATCAGGGACAGGCAAGGGAAACCCAGGCTGAGATGGCATCTCAGAGCCACCGGGATGCTGAGTGCTCGTGAGTACGCCGAGACAGCGGGACCTCACACCGCTGACAGGTGTCCAGTGGCACAGCCGCTGTGGGAGAGAGTCTGGTGGCTCCTGAAACCATGGAACAGTCACCAGGTGACTCGGCAGTCTCTCTCCCGGTGTGTACCCGAGAAGTGAAAACACGTCGCTCGCGCAGGGACGCCCTTGCAGCTCTCCTCGCGCAGGGACGGACACCCTCGGGGCTCTCCTCGCGCAGGGACACCCTCCCGGCTCTACCCGCAGGGACGGACGCCCTCGCGGCTCTCCTCGCGCAGGGACAGACGCCCTCGCGGCTCTGCTCGTGCAGGGACGCCCTCGCAGCTCGACTCGCCGGGCCAGACGGTGGAAGCGGCCCGGTGCCCGTCGGGACAAGCGGTGTAGTCAGGCAGGGATGCTCCCCCACCGTGGAAAGGAGAGTCCTGACTCACGCTAGAACGCGGATGGTCCCTGGGAACATCCCGTTGGGGGGAGCAGCCCGTCACAGAAGACCACACAGAACGTGATTGCACCCTCGCGGGATGTCCAGAACCGAGAAGTCAGTAGAGCCAGAAAAGAGATCGGGGCTGTTCGGGGCTGGGGTGCGAGTGGAGGGCGAGGGTGCTCGGTCGCCAAGGGGACAGGATCGCCTTTGCAGGCGAGAGAACGCTCTGACATCGGACGTGGACACAGCTCTGTGAATAACTGAAGCCCCCCAAGTTGTGCTTTGCTGGGTGAATGTGTAGGGACTGGAAATTACACGTCAGTACAGTCGTGAAGGAAAAGAAGACGCGACGACACCGGCACCCTGTCCGGGCGGCTGCTGCGGCCTCGCGCCCACGCACGGCGCCTGCTGCTGGCTTCGTGCACCAGTTCAGCCGCTCCCACGGGTGTGCCGAGTCCAATCGTGTCTTCGTTTGCATTTCGCCGAAGGCTAAAGACGCTGACCCTCTTTTCTTGTGACCATTTGCCATCTGAATACAGTCACGGGTCACTTACCACGGTCTTTCTGAGAAGTGCGTCCTTGTCGATCTGTCCTGGTGCGAACATCACAGATGGAACCCACAGCCGGGACGTGGGCTCCCCGCTGTCCTCCACGCGGCCTCTGACGGCTGTGTCCTCCTTGGTGGCACGTCCCTTGTGTCTTTTGTCAGTTTCTAATAGTTTTTATTTTTCAATGTTGAGCTTTGAGAGTTTTTCCTAACACACTAGATTGGAGACTTCTGCCAGATGGGTGGTTTGTAATTATTCTCTGCATCGTGTCTTTTCGTTCTACAAAGAGGAAGGGTCTTTCACAGAGCCAGAGTTGTAAATTTTGATGAAGGCCAATTGGTCCACTTTCTTTTTTTTTTACTCTAATATTTTTTCTTTATTGATTTTAGAGAAAGAGGAAGGGAGAGGGAGGGAGAGATAGAAACATCAATGAGAGAGAACATCGATTGGCCGCCTCCTGCATGCCCCCCACTGGGGACCGGGCCCACAGCCTGGGCAAGTGCCCTGACCGAGAACCAAACCAGCCACCTCCTGGTGCAGGGCCGACGCTCAACCAGCGAGCCACACCGGCCGGGCCACTTTCTTCTTTTACGCTTCCGCCGTTGGTGTGACGTCTGAGAAGTTTTCACCCAGCCGTAGGTCCCGAAGGTTTTCCGTCTGTTGGCATCAGGTGTTGTGACTGTGTGACTTCTCTTCCTTTGCTGGTTAAGCGTGGGTCGCAGTGATTTGTTTTCAAACACTGAGCAGCCTCAGCCCCTGATGACCCCGCTGGGCCGCGGTTCACAGCTGCGTGCGCCGAGCTGTTGGACGGCGTTGTGAGGGTCTCGGCAGACCTCCGCTCGCTGGGCCCTGCACGCTGCTGGTGGCTCGCTGCTCTGCACGCCTGGGAAGGCTCCAGGAGACGGTGAAGGGACTTGGAGATCTGGAGAGCGAGGTCTCCTGGGAGGTCCGGAGACGATGATTTTGTTTGGAGAAGAGAGGGCGAGAGGAGGTGGCAGTCTGCTTGGTGGCCTTCGTTTTCCATAGCACCTTCCCGCGCCTTCCTCCCTGTCCTCGCCCCATCCGAGGAGTGCGCACCTGGCCGAAGGCCTAGAGGACCGGGCTAGTCGGGGTCGGTCGAGGGCCGGGCCCAGGGCAGCGCGGAGGTGGGCAGTTTCCCGAGTGTGGACGGTAGGCGGGGGAGCCCTTTCTCACGGAGGCTGTCAGCACTGTGTCCCCAAGGTGGCTAATGGCTTTGCTGCTGTCCCCCCTTCTGCTGGCAGATGTGAGTGACATCAGTCGCTTCCTCAGCGTGTTCCACAAGCCGCATGCCGGGGTCATCCAGGCCGCCCGGCAGCTGCTGTCCGACGAGCAGGCCCCGCTGCGGCAGAAGCTCCTGGCCGACCTCCTGCACACCATCAGCGAGAACATCATGGCTGAGACCAGGGCCGAGGACCCACCCTGGTTCCAAGGTGCCTTGTGCAGGGCCTGGAGGGAGCTGGGCGTGGGAGGGCTTCCCCAGAGCCGACATCCTGGGAGAGGCCAGATTCTGTCTCAGTTCTCAAAGTGAGGGGCTCCCCAAGGTGGGGCTCCCCAAACCAGGGGCCTGCCTAGCTTCTCTGTTCATGGTGGGCTGGATTCCAGGCAGCCTAGGACTCTGGTCGAGTCCACGTGACGTACAGTCCACCATCCTGACCACCATTCAGGGCACAGCGCAGGGTCACTGGGGACATTCATGTCCACTGTGGTCGAGTCCACGTGACGTACAGTCCACCATCCTGACCACCGTTCAGGGCACAGCACAGGGTCACTGGGGACATTCATGTCCACTGTGGTCGAGTCCATGTGACGTACAGTCCACCATCCTGACCACCGTTCAGGGCACAGCACAGGGTCACTGGGGACATTCCCATTGTGGTCGAGTCCACGTGACGTACCACGTGGTGTGCAGTCCACCATCCTAACCACTGTTCAGGGCACAGCACAGGGTCACTGGGGACATTCATGTCCACTGTGGTCGAGTCCACGTGACGTACAGTCCACCATCCTGACCACCGTTCAGGGCACAGCGCAGGGTCACTGGGGACATTCCCACTGTGGTGCAGCCATCACCACTGGCCTCCCCGGAACTTCCCATCTTCCCAGACCGGACCTCTGTCCCCACTGAACACTAACTGCAGCCCCAGCCGCTCTGGCACACCCCGGGGTCTGCGTCTGCGGGTGCGGCCACTCCAGCAAGCAGAGTGGAGTCGTAGTGTTCGTCTCTAACGGGCGGGTTTCGCTGAGCCTCACCTCCCCGGCGTCCCCCCACCCTGTAGGTGTGTAATAGTCTGCTGCGTGGACGACCACGTTTTCTCTGTCCGTTCATCCGTGGGCGGACACTGGGCTGGCTTCCACTTTTCAGACTGGCCTGTTAAGCCCGTCGGAGGCAACCCTGAGAGACTCGAGGCATCTTGAAAAGGCAGCAGCAGGCAGGAGCCCCTGGGTGGTGTCTGAGATGCCCCTGGGGAACCAAAGCCCCCCACACACACACACACACAAGCGTCACCGGGGCCATGCGCACAGGCTGGCAGAGCGTCTCAGATGCAGCCCCGGCCCCACTCCCGCCCCCACCCCGCACCCCACCCAGGACGGCAGGGACAGCAGGGTCTCGTCTGAACTCCCTCCTGCAGGTCTGGAGTCCCGGTTCAGGAGCAAGCGCAGCTACCTGAGATTCAGCTGTGAGAGCAGGATCCGGAGCTACCTCAGAGAGGTAGGGCCCACGGGAGCGCGTGGCCGCAGACAGCTCCCCGGAGCCCTTCCTTGGGCGTCTTCCCTGCGAGCTCTGGGTGGAATGGGCCTTTCTGTCTGTCATTCGGTTCAGTGTGGACATGAGCTCATCTGTTCTTGCCCCGGTTTGCGCTCATGGACGCCACACGGGCGGGAGATGCCTCCCTGTCCCCAGAGCGGTCGTTTTCTCTCCGGGTGCGGCGTGGTTGTCTGAGCGCTGGAGGAACGGAAGCTCTGAGCACCTGTGGTTCGAGCTCTGACTTGGCGGACACCCTCTGGGAGCTGGGAGGCAGCTGGGGGTTGCAGCTTCAGCGCCCCCAGTGGGAATCAGCCCTCGGGCCAGGCCAGTGTGGTCTCTGCTCTTCCTTCCACACGGCAGCAGCCCAGGCGGAGGGCAGAGAGGAAGCCGAGGGGAGCGCAGGTGCCCTGCCGAGAGGGCTTGTCCCTGCTCTGGAGGATGGGGTCCCGGGGACTGGCCAGCACTTCGCCGCACGGGGGTCTGCCACCCATGCAGACCTTTACAGAAGGACACAGTAGAGCGCTGGCTTGGGGCAGCTCAGGAAGGGCCCCCCGGTGCTCGGCACGGCCCGTGCACCCCTGGAGACCAGTGTCCGCCTGCACCGGAGCGGGCAGCATGGCGGGCGGGGTGGGGGCGGGGCGTGGCGGTTGCCCCTCACCTGCCCCCTCCTCTGAGTCTGCCCGGGCAGCAGCGGCAGTGCCATGGAGATGGGCAGGGTGCCTGGAGCCTGAGTTTGTTGTCTGCCCGACTGTGACCAAAGCCCCATCTGCAGAGAAACCCCCGGGGTTGGACAGCCAGCCCCGGCCTGTCCAAAGTGCCAGGACCCCGAGGGCTGTGGCCTTGCATGGACCGGGAGCCCGGCGGCCGGCTTAGGGCGTCGTGCGCTAGCTCAGCGCCGTCCTTGCTGTCCTGCAGGTGAGCTCGCACACGCCGCTGGTGGGCGCGCAGGCTCGGAAGGAGTACGGGCGGATCGTGGACGCCCTGGGCCAGAGGCTCAGGGCTGCGCGGTACAACGGCAGCTACTTCGACAGGGGCGCGGAGGCCACGGGCCGGCTCTGCACGCCCGAAGGCTGGTTCTCCTGCCAGGTGAGCTGCATGCCCTTTGCCCCAGAGCCACCCAGGCGTGTGCCGAGCCTGCCCGCCACGGAGAGGGGGAGGACGCCTGCCCTGGGCCCCGGTCAGCCCCCCTTCACTGGGAGGGAAGGCTGGCCCGCAGGCCTTGGACTCCAAGGCTGTGGAAGGGTGTGGGGCCCCCAGAGCTCCTGCTGGAGTCTGCACGGCCTGGGAACCTGCATTTCTGACATGTTCCCAGGTGACACTCCTGGTTGGGGACCTCCCTGCTGTGGCGAGCAGACACTGTCGCCCGAGCAGAGTCCTCGTCCTGGTGAGGGGAGGCAGCGCTGCCGCGGGTGGGCTGGTCCCGGAAGGACGTCGGGAGCCTCTGGAAGCAGGCGCCCTGTCCCCCTGGGAGCCCTCTGGGTGACAGAGAGCTCTGGGGCCGCAGGCTCTGTGTCTGCCGGGACATTCTGGGACCCCCTGGGTGGGCAGTGCAGGCGGATGTTGCCGCTCCTCCCAGACCCCTGAGCGAGTCACCGGACACCACTCCCCAGGTGCCACCACCTCTGGGGCCCGCAGCCGGCGCCCTCTGCAGGACAGGTGGGCTCCTCCACTGCCTCCCCGGCCTTCCCTTCTGGCGCGTCAGGCCTGGTCCAGCCTCGAGTGCTCGTGACACGGGGCTTCGGCGAGTGCCAGCCTGCGGAGCTGGGAGAGACCAAGATGGCGCCTCCTGGGCCCAGACAGCAGGGAGAGGCTCACTGTGGGGGTCACCCGTTCTCTCGGCACAGGGTCCTTTCGACATGGCCGACTGCGCATCCAGACACTCCATCAACCCCTACGGGAACAGGGAGAGCCGAGTCCTCTTCAGCACCTGGAACCTGGACCACATGTGAGTCCGCGGCGGCAGGAGGGCCTGTCCCGGAGAACACGTCCGGGCCACCGCTGCCGGGCTTGCCGCTGCCTGGGGGTCCTCGGGCCCACCCTCGCCCCTGCCTAGCTCGTGTGCCTGTGCCCTGTGCCCTGGCTCGTCCACGGGCGTCCCTGCAGAGTGGTTCTGTGGTTGTTTCTGCCGGACTCACGGGCTTTCCTTGCTTCTGAAACAACTGCGTTAATTTACTGCTTGTGGGCCCCATATGACATGCGCTGGCCTGAGAGGTAGGCCGAGGGTCCCGGTGCCCCCGACGCGGATTCAGCCTGGCTGCGGGGCCCCAGCAGACAGGATGCCAGTGGAGTCCTGATAAATGTCTGGGCGTGAGGGGCCTGCCTTCTCCGAAGGCTGCCATCGCCACTGAGGTAGCCTGGCCTGGCCTCCCGGATGAGGAAGGACGCCCCAGGGGAGGGTCAGCCCCTAGACCCTCCAGCAGAGCACAGCCAGAGTGGCCAGGCCAACCCACGGAAAACAGGAAGATTTGGGGCCTGGTTGTGCAACAACCAGTAACTGACCTGGTCCTTCCTCCTCCCAAAGCCCAGGACTTCCCGCAGCTTCTCTGCTCCCCCTGTGGCTGGAGTGGGGGAGCCTCACCCTATCCTTGCCACCCCACTCCTGGCATGTTGCCGGGTGTGGTTTCTTTTGATAGGTTACGTTTTCCACTTGTCTTTTCCTACACGTGGACAAACGCTGTTTTCTGTTGTAGCTACACCCGCGCAGAAACTGCACAGGCACCGTGGCTGTGGTTAAGGGGCCCGTGCCGCGGGGGGCGACAGCAGGCAATGACGGTCTCCAACCTCACTTTGCAGAATAGAGAAGAAGCGCACGGTCATCCCCACGCTGGCGGAGGCGGTCGAGGAGCAGGACGGGAGGCAGGTGGACTGGGAGTATTTCTACAGCCTGCTCTTCACCTCCGAGAACCTCAAGCTGGTGCACATCGCCTGCCACAAGAAGACCAGCCACGGACTCCGCTGTGACCCACGCAGGGTCTACAGGCCCCAGGCGAAGCCCAAGCGGGGGCGGGCTGCTCGCAAGCGCCCATGACGCGGGCATGTGCCCTCCACGTGGCGCCCGGCCTGGTGACGTCTGGAACTTGAACAGGTGCTACTTTCTTTTTTAAAGAGGTGGTACTGTTCTGTTATTATTTTTTTTTCTTTATTGATTTTAGAGAGAGAGGAAGGGAGAGAGAGAAACATCAATGAGAGAGAACATTGATTAGCTTCCTCCTGCATGCCCCCCACTAGGGATCGGGCCCACAACCTGGGCGTGTGCCCTGACCGGGAATCGAACTGATGACCTCTTGGCCTCTTGGTGCAGGGTCGACACTCAACCACTGAGCCACGCCGGCCGGGCACAGGTGCTGTTTCTTTTTGCCACTGCCGTAGCTCCTGAAAAACACTTTTACACACGCTTCCGACAGATTCTGATCTCAGCACGTCTCTGAACCTGCTTCCTGAACCTGAGGGTCCACGGGAGAGGACAGTCAGGTGCCCCATGGGACGCTGGGGCCTGGTGTCCAGGTGGCGGGGTCAGGGACCCCCTGTTCTGACGTGACCTGCTTTGTGTGCTTGGGTGGCACAGTCGCCATGCTCACCAGCATCATGGCCCAGGCCAGCCACTCGCCTCAGGGACAGGTTGTTTCGTGTCAGCCCTGCCGGGTCTTCACTCCCCAGAAACGGAAGCTCTGTCCTCGGTCTCCTCCTTTCGGGGTGAAATGCTCACCCTCCATAAGGAACACCCAGGATGTTCACTGCTGTGCCATCCGTGACGGCAGAGGGCCTCCCACGACCTGTCCACAGCAGCCGGCGACTGGTGCCTGCGGGCCTATGGAAGTGCTGTTTGTTGTCGGACAGAAATGGTCAGGTGCCGACGTCACGGCTCCGCCTGGCGTACGTGAGGCTCAGCCGTGCGGCAGTTTGAAGTGTTTGGATAGAGACAGGAAGCTGCCCGCCCAGTGCACAAGGCACGTGGCCTAACACACCTCAGTGTGCAGACAGCAGGTCTGTGAGCTGTAATCCTGGGGGCAGGCTGGGTGCCACTGGACTGCAAAGGGCGAACTTGCTAAGTCGTGCGTTTCATAGTACAGTTGGCCCCGCGCCCGTGGGTTTGCATCCGAGGTGTGGGGCCCTTGGGGGGGGGGGGCGGCTGCTCGTGCGGTTCTTCGCCCTGCGTGGTGGGGACCCAAGTGTCTCCGGAGCTCGGTATTGGTGGGGGTCCTGGGACCAGTCCCCCACGGTACCGAGGAATGACCATACTTGAAGTTTTTGAAATGAGCATTTATTCTGTAATTTTAAAAATGTATTTTTTATATTTTTTTAACATTTGAATTTTCACATTTATTGTAGAATCATGAAGAACAATAAAGATTTCCTGTAAATAGACGTCTCAGAAACTTGACTCATTGAAATGATGGAAGTGAGGGCTAAGTAAGGGATCAGTGATGTTTAGAAGCTGACCCACAGGGTTCCCTCTTCTCCGCTGGTGTGTAGGAGCAGCGTGGGCGGAGCCAGTGGTGTGTGGGCCGCTAGGAGCCTCACCTTGGCGGGGTTCGCCCATCTGGTCAGGCTGCGCGGACAGGGCTGCCTGCATCTCGGCCCAGGCCCAGGGCACGGAGGGCCGGCCGGCAGCCGCCTGGGTCCTTCCCGCTCTAAGGGCGGGTCTGGGGGACGGAGGTTCGGTTTCCCGGTCCTGGAAGCACAGCTCTAGGGTGTGTGATGAGCTTGCCTGGCGGCAGGCGGTCCTGGGGGAGTTGGGATGGATGGACTCTCCTCCAACATAGCACAGGGGGACTCGCCGCCCACCGTGCTGCTGTTCCCGCAGGGCGACGGCCCTCCCCCAGTGGGCTCCATGTGACTGGATGTCATTTCACAAAGACCAACCTTCGCGTGTTTCTGGGCACTGGCAAGAATGCATCACCACGTGCTTCTTGATGCCCGGGGGGCTGGGGAGCGGTCTGCAAGGCAGGGGGGCAGCTGGGCAGCTGTGCCTGGTCACAGCTCGGCCCTCACACAGCCCTCGCTGCATGGCTGGCCTCTGCAGAGAAACCTGTCCCCGGCTCGCTGTACAAGGTTAGCCTCAGCTCAGTGAGGAGACGCACAGGGGGTGGGGTTGGGCACGGGGCTTGTGCCATCCGGGCTCGCCACGCTCTCCGCTCCTCCACCTGTTCACCCGCCCAGAAGGAAGATCTCCCAACAAAGGCCAGCGAGCTGTCAGCCCCCCGAGTCACGACTGGCTAAGTCCCTGGCCCTTGGAGACTGAGTCAACTCCAGCCCTCCCCCCTGGAGGCTCGGGGTGGGTCTGAGTGTTCCAACCCTCTTAACCTCAAGGTGGGGTCTCTGGGCAACCAGCCCCACCTTTGGGGTCCCAAAGTCACCTCATTCACAGGACAACACTCAACACTACAAACTCCAGAGGTGTGCAGAGCCCTGAGCAGGGACCCCTAGGTGAAGACCTTGTAAACACAAGGGGGCGCCTCCCCACCACAGTGAGAGTGCGGAGCCCGTCTCAGGCCGCCCGACTGAGGGCCAGGCCTCAGGTCCGCAGCCGGGCGCTGGGTGGAGGCTGACCAGCCTTTGATGAGGTAGGGCAGGACTCGCTTCTCCATGTTGCTCCCACACATCTTAGAAAGAAGTATGTCAGGGACATAAGACTTCTTAAAAACATTCTCAAAATACAGTTTATTTGTTTCCACGTGTGTCTCAGGTTTCCAGGCGCACGTTAGCTTCGCCTACAGAAACCGGTTAAGAGCGGTCACTGAACCGATCACGGAGCGAGCGGACCCCGACCGTGGAACGCACCCCTGCGGGTGGTCAGCACGGGAGCCCCTCCACCCGGCGTCCCACCCACACCCAGGCCCCGGCCTGCTGCACACTCGGCAGATGCCGCCCTCCCGCCGCCGCAGCAGCTTCGGCCCCCAGGCGGCTGTGCCCGGAGCCTCCCCACCGGAAGTCTGGTTAAGGACACGTCCTCTTGAAGATAAGTTCTTTAAGTCCCGTAATTTGCTAAACTCAATTATTAACAGCACTAAATGCAAAGAAGTCGTCGCGTGTCTTTATTTCTACATTTCTGCATCCTCCTCCTCCTCGTCGTCTTTGGCTCTGAAGTGCATCTTCCTGAATTCGCGTCTGCTCACGGAAGGACACGAGGACGACGCTGGCGGGAGGTCCTTGGGGGAAAGAGCAGGCCGTCGTCAGCCACCACTGCCCCTGCAGCAGCACCTGGGCCTGCCCAGCGCAGCCCTTCCTGCGGACAGCGGGGGACAGCGCAGCTCTGCTCCCCAGCGAGGAACAAGCCCCCCAAGTGCGGGCTGGCTGCTCACAAAGACACGCGATTTCACGACCCTGCAGTGAGGTCCGGAGGCCACACAGCCCGCACCACCCGCCGACATCGCGGGACACCGGCAGCAGCGTGCTCACGTCCGAGTGGGTGGGGACGTGGGCGTGCCCAGTGAGCAGCTGCACCACCCCCGCGGCTGCGCGGATTGGGCGGGGCGGGGCGGGGCGGGGCGGGGCGGGGCGGGGCGGGGCGGCGCCTGCGCACTCACCTGCATGAGCTCCACGTTGCCGAAGAAGCGGCTCACCGGCATCGGCTGGTTGCTGTCGTCGTCCAGGAAGACGCTGCTGTCCATCTGCAGCGGGGGCAGCCGGACCCGCTCCGTCTCCAGGGGGGACGCGGCCCCGACGGCGGAGCCGCCGTCCGAGTCTCTTCCCGGGAGGGCACCGGGCAGGCCGTCGGTCCTCGCCACGCGGGCGTCACTCACCACCCGGCCGTGCCCGAAGGGAAGGCCTGCGGTCTCCCGCGGCGCCGCGACGCCCACCTCCGGCCCCGGGGGCGCCGGGCCGTGTGTGGCCACGCGCGGCGGCTCATCCTTACCAGGGGTTTCTGGCGGCGCTCCGGGCAGGGCCGCGCTCTCGCTCCGCGGCAGCAGTTTCTGTAATTCCGACTTCACAAGTTGGCCTTTGTCGCACTTGAACTTCTTGGAAGTTCGCTTGTCCGTGGCTCTGTGTGACGAGGACGTCTGTCGGAAGAAGGGGGTCAGGGACAGGCAGGGTTGCCAAGCGGACGGCAAACACAGAGGCCCGACGAGGCCCGCATTCCTCACGTCTACAACCTTGGAGATGCTGAAGCCGGCCTCGGGGTGGGGTCAGGGCCGGGTCACCACCCCCGCCCCAGGGACAGCCAGGGGAGAACCCGGACGACCCACCCCGCTCCCACACCTGCCCTCTCTCCAGGCTGTCCGTTTCCTAGGAATTCAGAAGCTGGAGGGCTCAGCAAGCCTGTCTGCGACCTCAGCCGGTTCAACAAGCCGCGCGTGGGGAGCGAGACTGCTGGCTGCGCCGTCTGACCGAGTCCCAGCCTCAGGCGGCCGACCTGGCGGCATGTGGGGAGGACCCCTCGGCAGCCACCGCCCACGCGCAACGGGCACGGGGCCTCCGCAGCACTGTGCCTTCCTCTTCAAGCCCTCGGGGTGGACAGAGGGTGCTGTGCCACCACCACTGAAAAGGCCGTTTGGGAGACGGGGCCCGAGACACGCGCCCACCGCGGCAGTCGGACACATAGCCCTGGACTGGGCGGCACTGGGCACTGCCACCTGCTGCTGTCCCAGCGCGGCACACTCAGAACACCATGCAGACACGACGCCCGGGCCCAGGTCCTGTCTGCGTCGGAGGCTCACCTGACATGCCGTCCTGATGGACGTGGCACTCCCGACTTCCTGGGCAGAGGTCAGCCTGGCCGCGCAGCTCCGGGCTCTCAGGCGCGCCGAAGACCGCACTCCCCCTGCGAGCTGACGGGGACATGGACGGGCAAGGCCGTCAGAGCTGCTCCGAACGTGGACGTGCAGGTGGGCTCCTCACTAGGCAGGAACCCGAAGAGGTCCCTCCTGCTCCCGTTTCCACCAGCACGGAGGGCACCTGCGGCCCCAGTGTGCGGACGCTAGACACTCCCCCCTCTGTCTCGGGGACTTGGTGACTCATCCCCATCACACAGCACCGAGCCTTCCTCAGAAGGGTCACTTCCGCGGTGTCCGAGCTCTGGGTGAGAGGGAGCGTGGGAAGCAAGCCCCCTTCCAGCGCCCTCCATCAAATGACAGCTTCAGTCATCCTCAGTTTACTAGTTTAATGCAGCTAATGTCTGTCTGGTAAACCTCAACAGTAAGAAATGGGTCTACTTCCTTCTACTCTCAATGCCGAAGAAAGTATTCTAATAATAAGGGAGAAGTTAGTTAAAACGCTAAAACTTAAAATCACTGTACTTGGGAACAACTTTAGGTTTTGGTGCAGGTCCCCGTGCACGCTTCACTGGCGTGCCTGACGTCAGACCACCACGGCGCGCCTGTCGCAGCGAGCAGTGAGCCTGGACGACAGTTTTTCCGTGACTTCCTTTCCCAAGGAGCTGACCTTATTCACAGCACAGCGCTATGTCCACGCCAAAGGGGCCCTCCGGAATAGTGGTTTAAGGGGAAAGTCAGCTGGGGTCCTGCGGGCCAGCTCCCCCGCACGAGGACCAGGGCGCAGCACAGCTGAGAGGCCTCCTGCGGTCAGAGCAGTATCACACTGACCTTACAAACTCATCCTTCAAAAAAGCCAGAAGGTGACTGGATTTGTTTGCAGAGGAACTTATGCCCCAGTCACGGTTGAAAACAATAAGCAATCTGCTGGCAATTAATGGAGTTTATCAGCTGGGTGTGGTCAGGGAAAGCACAGCCACCCCTCGGTGCCTGTGGGCAAACCCAATGCTGCCGGGAGGGGACACAGACTCGAACAGAGTAATCCACCAAGTCACTAAACAAATAAACAGAATATTAACAGTAACAAGCCCTGGGGTAGGGCTGGGAGGTCAGTCCCCAGAATTGCTATATTATCTAAAATGTCCAGTCTCAACACAAACATTATGAAGCATGCAAGGAAACTAGAAAGCAGACCCAGACACTGGAATAAATACAGACAACACTTCCTGTGAGTGACCATATCTTTGATTTCTCAGAAAAAGACTCTGAAGTAGCCATTATAAACAGATAAGAAAAACCATGATTAAAGAAGTAAAGATTGGATGATAGCCCTGGCCGGTTTGTCTCCTGTCCGGAGAGACCTGGGTTCAGTTCCCGCTAAGGGCATGTACCTCGGTTGCATTTTGTCCCCGGCCCTGGTTGGATTGTGTGGGTGGCAGCCACGTGTGAAAAGGATGACTAAAATAAAACATTCACTAGAGGGGCTCAAGAGTAGATAAGAACTGGGAGTAAGAATAAGTGAACTTGAAGACAGGTTGATAGATATGCACGCCTGAGAACAGAGAGAAAAAAGAATGAAGAAAATGAAAAAATCTTAAGACAAATGTTGGACATCACTAAGTGAACCAAGTGAACCAACATATGTATAATGGGAGTACCAGAAAGAAAGGACAGAGAGAAACAGAGTCATTATTTAATGGCTGAAAACTCCCCAAATGTACTAAAGAACACCGCCTACACATCCAGGAATCTCTAAGAACTGAATTCCAAGTAGGATACATGTAAAGAGATCCACAGACGCATCGAGTAAAAGGACTCCTTCCTTACGAGGCTTCCGGATAAACAAGAACTGAGAGAACTTGTTGCCAGTAGACCCCTTTAGAGAAATACTGAACAAAGTTCTTTAGGCTGGAAGGAAGTGATCCCAGATGGCAATTCAAATCCAAAGAATAAAGGAAAGCACCAGTTAATGTAATCGTGTCCTGACAGAAGTCAGTTTCAACGAATGGTATCTCCTTCTCTTCACCATGTGAGAGGCAATGACATACCGTAACCTGTCCACAGTGTTTACAGGAATGTTCTCTTTGCAATGACAGCTCAGGGGAGGCGGGTGGGAGCAAGGCTGCAGTGGGCTGAGAAATGGCTACAGATGGCCAAGTAGTCATGAAAGTGTGTTACTGGGCCTGTAACAACAGGTGTAATATTTATAACAACACGCCAAAAAACTGGGTAAAGGAAATAGAACCATACAGGAGTAACATTTCTCTATCTCTGGAATTCAGCTGGTGCAAATCTGAAGCTGATTCTGCTGTTGCGACGTATTTATTAAACCTATAGCGACCACTGGAAAAGACTTTTTTTTTTTAATTAGTGAAAGAAATCATTAAAACGGTACATAAAAAACATTCGCTTTAACCCATTTCGGTGAGAAACAGAACAAAACAGAGACAATATAAAGAACACAAAAGTAAAGTGCACTGCGCACCCCACTGTCCCGATCACATTAAATGCGAAGGGTCAAACAATTTAATCGGAGGCAGAGATGTCAGCCTGGAAGCCCCCCCCATCGCCCACGAGACGCGCCGGGCGTGCTGCCCACAGGGGGCACCTCAGGTGCAAAGCCACACAAGGGAAAATGAGCTGGAGTCCACTCCCGAGCAAACCCGGTTCTGGGGCAAACCCAGAGCCCAGGCGCAGCCGGTGCTCCCCAGGAGGGACCCCCAGCCTGGATCCACCAGGGTCAGGGGTGGCTGGGGTCCCTGTCCCTTGCCTCAGTGCACACACCGCTCCAGTCACCAAGTGCCAGGAACTGGCACCCCTCACTCCTCATGCCCCTCTGGGGTGGATTCCATATCACCCCACTTTGTCCATGAGGTAACGGGGGCCAAGCTGAGGTCACCTGGACTTGAGCGGTGGCAACAGGAAAACATGAACCCCTTGTTTGGCAGCATGAGAAAAGCCTGGGGTCCAGGCCAGCTCTGGAGAGGGAGCCTCAATGAAGCCTGAGGGCCCCTATCCCGGGGGCGTGGCCTGTGCGCACCACTCCCAGGGGCGTGGCCGGAGAGACCAGTTCCTGGGGGCGTGGTCTGAGCGCACCATTCCCGGGGGCGTGGCCCGAGAGACCAGTTCCTGGGGGCGTGGCCTGTGCACACCATTCCCAGGGGCGTGGCCGGTGAGGGTCCTCCCCGGGGGCGTGGCCCGAGAGACCAGTTCCTGGGGGCGTGGCTGGTGAGGGTCCTCCCTGGGGGCGTGGCCTGTGAGCTCCGTTCCCGGGGGTGGGGTCTGGGAGGCCAGAAAGCGTAGCGAGGTCAGGACCAACTAGAGGTCGCCCCTTGGTCCGAGGCGTCCCTCCTCAGCTCCCCAGGCAACCGGCGGCCCCTCACCCAACACAGCTCCCGCCCGGCCTCGGCCGCTCACCTTCCGGCTCCTCATGAGTATGAGAGGCGCAATGCCGCCCCCAGCAGCGCCGCCAAGTACCCTCGCTCCGGCCTAACGCTCTACAGCACAGCAGCAACCCTCCAGCCCTAGGCCCGCGCTGTGGCGTCTGACGTCACCAGGCTACTGGCCAATCGCAGTGCGGGGTCCGCAGTCACGTGACCCAACAAAGCTGGCGCTGTGCGTAGCGGGCTGGTGGCGGCCATGTTTGTGAGGGGCACTCCCACCGCTGCCTCTGGGGCCGCCACCTTTAAGAGGGGCAGCGGCCATGTTTGTGAGGGGCACTCCCACCGCTGCCTCTGGGGCCGCCACCTTTAAGCGGGGCAGCGGCCATGTTTGTGAGGGGCACTCCCACCGCTGCCTCTGCGGCCGCCACCTTTAAGCGGGGCAGCGGCCATGTTTGTGAGGGGCACTCCCACCGCTGCCTCTGCAGCCGCCATCTTTAAGAGGGGCGGCGGCCATGTTTGTGAGGGGCGCCCCTTGCAGTCCCTGGGCCACGTCTCTGGAGTTGGGCGGGAAGTGGCGGGTGGTCTCTCTGGCCCCCGTTTCCGTGCGCCGTGAGCGGTGCCGCAGCCGCCTGGCCTCGGGCCGGCTGCAGCCGCCTCCTGTAGGCGGGACGCGAGCCCAGCCCGGCTCTGCGTGTCTCGCCGGTGGAACTTGGCCAGAGCGGCTCGTCGCCCTGGGCCCTGGGCCGGCTGCACCCACGTGCGGCCTGTGGGCGGGCCCCGGGCCGGCCCCAGTGGGGTTGCAGGAGTGTTCCCGGCCCTGGCTCCTTTTCTTTGCCCTCGAGGGGAAGGACGGCAGCCCCCGGTCCCTGGCGCCGGCCTGGTGTTGCCCTAAAAGCCAGAAGACTTTGGACGTGAGACACAGGCGGCGTTTATTTATTCGCGATCTAAGAGCTGTTCCTCGGGAGCGGGGAGCGCCGAGGGCGGCGGTGCGCAGAAGGCAGAGGGGCCGGGACCCCGCAGAGGGAAGGCGCCCCCCTCCCTGCAGGTGCCGCGCGTCAGCCCCCAGCCACCGCCCGGGGCGCACGCCTGCCTCCGCCTCGTCTTTGCAAACCCTTCGGGGCGTGAGTGGAGGCCCCTGCAAAGGTCATTTTGCCTGTTTTAACACCCCCAAGGTTTGAGGCATGCGATGTGCCAGGCAGCTTTTCCGTTTTTGTTTTACTTACTATTATTATTTTTTGTTAATTCTCACCGGGGATATTCTTCCACTGGTTTTAGATAGAGAGGGAGGGAAAGAGAGAGAGAAACGGCGGGAGTTGCCTCCCGCATGACCCCAGCCGGGGTGGGGACTGAACTTGCGACTCAACTCTGTGCCCTTGGTGTCCTTGACCGGGAGCCCAATGCTTGACCCTTCAGACCCGTCTGACGCCAAACTGGCCAGGGCAGCTTTTTCATTTTCAAAGAGGGTCCGTTGACAGGATGTTTTAGAGGGAGGAGGGGGCCTGACCCCTTCCCCCTGCGTCCCTCTCCTTGTCCCTCCCCTCCCTCAGTGAGAACAGGTCAGGGGAGCCACACAGCCCCCTTCCCGTGGCCCCTGGCAACGTGCTGGCTCCGGGCAGCCCAGGGCGGTGGCCGTTTCTCTGTACTTCAGGCTTTCACAGAGGTGCTACCCAGCCTTGCCCTGAAGCACCCCAGGCCTCCAGTCCCCGGGCTCTAGGACGTGCCTAGGAGGGGGTGACAGAGCCCAGACAAGCTGAAGGACAGCCGCTCCCTGTGACCGCCGCCGGCTGGCTGCTGCCGCTCCAGGGACCAGCCACGTGCTTTGCAAATAAATGAGCACGGTGCTTCCTTTTCGTGCCTTTTTCCCCCACAGGTGAGAACATTTCAGTCGGGCAGTTTTGTCAGGAGTGTTAGGTTTTCCGTTAGAGCTGCACAGGCTGGAGTGAGCCAGGCTGTGCCGTGGCCTCCCGGACCGCTCGAGCGAGGCCCCTCTGCGCGCTGTCGGGCGCAGGGGCGTGATTCAGGCTCTCCGAAAGCATCAACGTCCCGGGCTCGCCTGGAACGACCCCCCGAAGCCTGCAAGTACAGCTGACGCCTCTTCAGTGCAGAAAAAGTGAGGATACTTAAGGATCTGCCAGCCCTCCTGCTTGGGGTCACTTGGCAGTGAGTGAGGGCACATGCCGTCTTCGTGTGTACATGCACGCGCACACACGCATGCACACGCACACATGCGCACGCAGTCGCCTACTTGGCGGCGGCACCCTCTCCCCTCCCGGGGCCTGTGCTTCCCGCCCTACTTCCCGGGGCAGAAGGGGAAGGAGACGAACGTGGACTGGCAGGAAACCCGCTGGAAAAGGAGCGAACGCACTGCCAGCTGCTGGGGGAGAATCAGTACAGCGTTAACACCCAACCCAGCCCGTCTGCACTGAAACTGCTTTCCTGTCAGCTGGGTTCAGTGACTTCCGTTTGGGGGCCTCCAGAGCACAGAGTCCTCAGGAACCAGGCCGCGGTGGCCAGCGGACAGTCGCGGGCTCTACAGCTGTTTATGGTCAGTGTCGAGGGACAGAAACTCGGCTCTGCCCAGCAGGCCTGGCTCGGCCGTGCGGAGTGTGGCATCCTCCTGGTCTCTGTTCGCACCCCGCTCTGCTCCCCGCTCACCCCCTCCCCACCCCAGTTACCTGAATGCTATTTCCAGCTGCTCCTTTGATCTCTCTCTCTCTCTCTCTCTCTCTCTCTCTCGTTGCCCACTTCCAGTCGGCAGCCATTCCTGCTGACTCTACCCTGCAAAGCTTCACAGCTGTCTCCTGCAGGAGTGCCCATGGCCCCTGGGGTCACGACTGGTGGTGGCCTGACCCCTGCTAAACCTCCCCAGGGCTTCCCGCTGCCTCCAGAATCAAGAGCAGCCGATGCAATGAGCCCTGTGGGGCGCGGCACGGTGCCTGCACTGAGCAGGAGCTCCGTGGGGGTTGTGAATGCTCGCAGAGAAGGCCCTGCGAGCCCCCCCAGCCCGCCCGCAGACACCCCGGCCCCACCGCCCTCCCCACGCCCACTCAGCCCCACGCGGTGGCATGCTCCTTCCCACCTTGCCCGCACCGTGCCCTCTGCCTGGAGACCCTTCTCCCCTGCTCCCCCGTTTTGCCTGGCAAATCCACTCTTCACACCTCAACTCAGCTTCAAGTGTGTGTCTTTGGGGGACATTACCAGACGCACCCCCGCCCCTTGAAATCTGCCCGTTTCCGATTTCTTACGATCTGAGTGTTTCCTTCCGCACGTGGCGGCAGGTGGCTTTCTCTCAGATTCACTCACTGACTCATTCACCGAGGTCGCTGCGCTCCCGACTGCCCGGCAGGAGCTGGGCCTAGGGTTGCGGTGGCCGTGAGCCCCAGCCAGACGCCCGGCCGGCCTCTTTAGTGCTCTTTGTCCAGGGGTGGGGCGGGGACGAGGGTTGGTGGGATCATCTCAGAAACAAACGTAAATCTACCACGGCGATGAGAGCCACAGGGGAGAGACCACGGCAGGGGCAGCGCCCCTCTGGGGTCAGACCTTCTCAGGGAGGTGACAGTGGGAGGTGCTCAGGGCTCACCTCTTCCCTCTAGAACCCAGTAGGAGGAAACAGGCAGGAACTCAAGTAGGGACGGCCGCCCAGTGGAGCCCCCAAGGGGGCAGAAGGTGGCCCTCAGAGGAGGAGAGAGGCCCTGACCTGGTGGAGGAGCAGTGACCTGTGTGATGAGGGCTTGTCTCTGATAGGCTGGCCCTTTGCATCGAAGAGAAGGATGTGACAGCTTTTCACAAAGGGAGAGGAAAACCACAAACAGGAAGAATAAAGCTCTCAGGACAGGAGCAGCGGGGACCCCCTCAGGCTGCTGGGAGCGCCGTCTGGTGCCGCCGCCTCGGAGGACAGGTTGGCAGATTCCTGCAAAACGAACGTGCACCGTCAGCCGTCACACTCCTTGGCATTTCCCAGGAGGAGCTGCAGACTGCCCACACCAGCCTCACACAGAGGGTTCCTGCGGCTTTATTCATGATCACCGGCACTCGGGAGTGACTGAGGTCCTTCAGTAGGTGAATGGAGGGTTACACTGGTCCATCCAGACAACGGGATGTTATTCAGTGCCCAAAGAGATGGAGGACTCTGGCCGGGTGGCTCGGTTGGTTGGAGCGTCACCTGTGCACCCAAAGGTCGCCGGTTCGATTCGCGGTCAGGGCACATGCCCGGGGTGCAGGCTCGATCCCCGGTATGGGGCATGCAGGAGGCAGCTGATGGATGGTTCTCTCTCACATTGATGTTTCTATCTCTCTCTCTGCTGCTCTTCTCTCTCTAAAATTCAATTAAAAAAAAAAAAAAAGCCTGGGATTTGCAGAGCTGGGCAGGGAAAGGCGAACTCCCCAGCTCAGTGAACGAGGGCCGCTTCCCGAGCACCGAGCAGGAGGGAGCCGGGGGATGAGAAGCCTGTTCTGAGAGCCCCGACCCTCTGGCGGGAGGACGATGGAGGGAGTCGGCTCACGGCCGCGTTAGACCGGAGGCCAGGCGCCGGCTGGGAAGCGATGTGTGAGTTCGTCTCCGCAGCAGATTAATTTTGCCGCCCACGCACACAGGCTCCCTCGCTCCGCCACCCTCTTGGCTCATTTAGCTAAACACCAGCGATGGGTTCCGGACAGCGCCGGGGAGTGACTTTTACCTACCGACGTGGCGAGCGCTAACCGGCGGCTGTCCCCTCCGTGCCGCACGTGTCTGCTTGCAGGGGTGATGCGGTCTCGGGGGTGTCTGTGTCGGAGGCAGCGCCTTCGAGGAAACCCCGGCACCTGGGGGACCTGCCACCCCCGACACGGGGAGCCCACCCAGGGGCGGCTCTGCCAGTCCTCGCGGGCGTCACACTCCGGTTAGGACCCGGAACAACCACCCTCAAGTCTCCGTCCCTTCCCGCCTGTGACCTCGCAGAGCTGTCTCATCAGATTTTATTTATTTATTTATAATATGTTTTTACTGATGTTTTAGAGAGACCGGAAGGGGCTGAGGGATAGAAACAGCCATGTCAGAGAGAAACCTCTATCGGCTGCCTCCTGCACGCCCCCTACTGGGGATCGAGCCTGCAACCCAGGCAGGTGCCCTGAGCAGGAATCGAACCGGACCCCTCAGTCCAGGGGATGA